CCAAAATTTTCATCGGGGAGGGCCATCCGGTTGGCACACTTTACACCTCTACAAGTCGACCATACAAAATGAGAGATCAAATGGTTGTGTGATATGCACTTGATTACTGTTGTATGCATGGTTTTCAAAATCGGACTAGATTGCACAGTCGGATCAAAAAACCTAACAACCAGTTAGATAATCGATTCTGTTTTATTTTAAAATTGCTTTTTGGCCAAAACTACTGATTTGGTCAGTGATCCATTGATCCAATCACTCAAACCACTGATCTGGAAAATGATTTTTGGCTATTTTTATATTTATATTTTTTAAGTTAAAATGGGTCATCCGTTCGAACAAGATGATCGAACCTTTCAACCTGGGAATCAGTTGCCAGATCCTTGTCCTTTCTAGTTTCAAAAACCTTGGTTGTATGGCATTATTCTTAGTTAAGCAAGCAGCCCCTAACACCGTTATCAAGTGCAACTTATCTGGATTTATCAAAAAGAGGAGTCTACATCTTTTTGAGGGTGTTTGGTTTCGTGGGCGTTTATTTAATAAGTGCTACTATATAGGCATCACTTCAATAGCTCCCCTCTCATGCTCTTTTGTATGCAACGAGAATGGCAAAAATGGAATTCGGTTTTTGTGCATACCTATCATTTGGGGAATTTATTTTTTAAAACTTCTACAAACGGTTAGGCATTTTTTCACTATTACGCTGATGTGATGCCTAATGGCGCCTAATTATTACAAACAATTATAATTGTTACCTCTTTCGATTTTACAAGTAAATAAAATACAAATGTTAAATAAAAAAACGTAAATAAAACCAAACACATAGAAACAAAAAAAAAAAACAAAAACACTAGGAAAATCACAGTGCTAACAATTCTCACACATAAGAACCTATACTTGTACACATTTTTTTAATGAAAACTTCCATTGTTGAGGACAGGTGATACAAACCTATATTGTGCCTAGCATTGTTTGTTATTAGCATATTCAAAAGTATAAAAGAGGATCAAGGGGCGATCTAGTACCTATTTGGGAGAGCTTTTTTACATAGCACCTTCTAGCATTACATAGATACCTATAAAGCTATTAAACCATGTTTTTAAAAAAAAAAAAAACAACTTTATGCTGAAACTAATTAGCTTCTCCCAAACATTTCAATCAACACAGAAGCCCTCCCAAATAGGTTCCATATATGAGTCTTTGGATCCGGCAGGCATACTTGATAAACGACACCTATCCTGCAAATCCATTCAAGTTATTGCCAAGTTGCTGAATGTACTGAATGATTTATTGCATAAAATAATAAAATGATAAAATATTCATATATATATATATATATATATATATAATAATGTACTCAACTACAGCTTCAGGCATTAAGAAACTCATAACCTTTCTTAAAAAACTTATTCAGATAAAAGACAAAACAATAAGCTCTTCAGATCAAGCACTTCAGCCATTACCAAACGGCCCTTAAAGCGTGCCTATACCAGATCCGAGTCTCAGTAATCAGAGTTAAATGTTGTTACGTCGGAGAAGGACAACCCATTGCAAAAAAGTTCAAATTAACCAGAGCCACCGGCAGTTTCTCCTCTTTCCGACGGATTTGGTTTTTACGACAATTACAGTTCCGACGGGTTTTGCATCGCACCATCGAGTATCAACCCACAAATAACGCTACAGTCAACAGCTTATCAATGCAACCATGTTATGACTTATGACAAGACCTGCACTCGCTGTCATGTTTCTCCCCTTCAAAAACTGAAATTAAACACAAATAATTAGCAAGAAAGTCTATATATTGATATCAATCCAAATAAGTTGAAGATTTCAGACACAGAAGCACTTATTGTATGTCGATGGTGAAGTCTCTCTCCTTCTGATTCCCTTGATATATTTGCCTAAGCAAGCAACACTGAAAGGACAGTTCGGTTAAGAATTGGGCGAGAGCGACTGAGCGACATGCTGTCTAGCAATCAAAACTGTAGATAGGGATAGACAGAGAGGGACAGGAACACTGCTACCCTTTCGTTTGAGTGTTTGACAAAGCAGGGCAGAAGTCGTCAAACAAGAGCAGATGTCGCTTTCTTGCTTGTTGCTTCTGATCATATATAAGAAGAGTAATAGACGAAACGGGGGAGTTGATTAGAATGAAGCAGTAACTCCCGTGCGCCCAGCATCTTCCCTAGCTACAGTAGTACGCAGGCATTACTTTGGCAGCTTCTCTCTGGACTCCGGGCAAAGCACGTTGATTTCCCGTGATTGAACGTTCTCTTCTTCGTTTCTTAGAGTTGACGAAAGTAGGAAAAACCGCTGGTAGCTAGGCTTGATTTGACAACATGGAGGTGTTTGGTTTCGTTGAGTTTTTTCTCACAAAACGGCAATGCAATGGTATGGCCTTTTCTTAGGAGTTCAAATCTGCGCCCCACAACCTCTTACAGCACATCCCCGCCCTGTAGTGTGAATATCTCTCAATGATAGTATTAGTCCCGAAGATGTCATCATGGATAGATGTTTCCAATACATGGTCAGGATGTTGTGGGGTGTAGATGTGAACTTATTTCTTAGGTGATGTTTGACATGGATGCCATTGCTTCAGAAAAAATAACTCCATCGTAGGTGTCACATCAGAGAAAGCAGTGCTTCAAACAATACTCTCTTGCTTGGTATTATTGCTCCATAACACACTTTGGAAATAGGAAAAGTATGGTCTGGAGCAACATCAAATTTCAATATTTTTCTGAGAAAACAATGCATTGTTGTGAGTGGTGCAATGATGTGGTATCATCTTGAGTGTTGAATAATATAAATCAATGTTGAAAAGGTTGCTGCCAGCATTAATACCAAACAAAACTTGTATTGTTTGCTCAGAAAACACCTATGTAACAATACCGATTCCAAACAAAAAATAAATAGTGCTTACAACTCTACATGTCTAACACTATTTTTATGAGAAGATACAATATTCCCAGCACTGATGCCAAACACCTACTTAGAAAATGGTAAATGTTTGGAGGTATTTAGTTTTTATTTTTTTAGAAAAAACTGCACCAAGTGAGCCACATTTCCTAAAATGGCCCAATTCTTGAGAGTTGAGAATGGATGTGTTCTTTTTTCCCGTTGCATTTTCTGCCACCAACCGAACAGTATGTTCCACCCTTGAAGAAGAATTGCTGACGTGGCTCCGACATGGTGCCATTTTGTAGAAACCAAAAACTACCTATGGTTGGTTTTGTTTCTGAAAACAAAAACAACTGTAACATATGAAGAAAAAAGCTGCTAGGGCAATATTATATTGTTTTTGCTGATATAGCGGTCGTTTTTATTTTCAAAAATAAAACCAATCATGTTTTTCAATACCCCCTATTTTTTTCATTTTAATTTCTTTTTTCTAATAAATTGGAAAACTATGATACTTAAATTTTAAGGCGATCACCAACGTGAGTAATAAAGACAAGTATCTCAAAAACAAAAACAACTGACACATCAGCAAAAGTAATATAATTTTACTAACGTGATAATTATTTTTATTTTCAAATGCAGAACCGACCATGCTGTTGTGAACTCCCTAAATGGACCATACACGTGATTTAGCATCAAATCTCTGTAATACTAATGGATTTCAACCCAATTTGCCATGAGACTTGGCAGAGTACTTAACCCTATAATAAATGGAGATAGAATGGAATCTTTTTGGACGACAAAGATTGCAACCTAGGGTACCACTACCAGACCAGAGGTTTCCGCAAAGACAGCCTTAGTGATTGGACTAAAAATTGGAAAGCTCGTAGGGTCTTTGATTCACCCTTGAGCTAAGGATTTAATCATTGAACCTGTGAACATGTTAAAAAAAAAAAAAAAGAAAGAAAAATCGTACTCGCTGCAGCAAAACCTGGTCTTCACACCATTACAATTCACATGTGGGGTCGGCCTTCAGGAATCTGAATGGAAATTTTAGTTCTTGAATTTCTACTCATTTAGTCAGCCCTGCATTATTACTCTTGAGAGGGCAAAGAACATGGGATTGTATTGTGTTTTGAATGGCAGTATGGCTTTGTACAAATAGGTTTCTTGCGTTTTGGATCCGAGGATGTTGACGCCCTTTCATAAGAAACAGATGGCCGCTTCTTTATGGTTCCATGGTCCTCCATTAGTCCATTCTGTCATTTGCCTTAACAAATACAATTTAGATTAATGGAGAATGATTTGCATTATGTAAAAAAACAAGAGTAGAAAAAAGAACTGAACTCAAGCTGTGGATGATCCAATGAGCAAGGTTTAGCTGAATGCTTTAACTATTCAGCGGAAGATTTCATGCAGGTATTTAAATATATGGGGCCCACGAATTTATTATTGACGTGAAACCTCATTATTGGTTTCACAGCCCGTTGAACAGCTAAAGTGTTCAGCTCATTATAGGGAGATAATCACTCAGTGTCACTCCAAAAGCGACTTTGTATTAACAAAAATGCGTGAATTCGCTGAACTTGATGGCTGTGTTAAGCCTTAGGGGCTGTGCATCTATATACATGTAGAGTGAGAGATTGGCTGCCTATTTGGCAGGGCTAATCTCCAGATTTTTCTCATTAAACATAACTTGCTACCTGTATAGGGCCCCAGGAAGCCAGAAGCTGCTGCTCTGCTCTTCAGCCCACCCAAATGAGTACCGAGTGGTTGAGTTGTGACTTACGAACCATACACATTTTATATTTATATAGCTCTTGTGAGGCGTTATTATTGGTTACACAGCCAAGTGCCAAGTTCAGCTAATTCAGACCTGGGAAGGCTCTGGCCTCGGGATTGACTGTGTCAAACTTCAGCCCTATGCACATAGATTTTTAAAAACTTTCAAGAGGTGGCACAAATCCATGACATGGCTGGCATTTGTTAATAACAGATCCAGACTCCCTTATATATCACCATCATCATCACCATCCAAACCTTATCATCGCAACTATATGGGATCGGCTACATGAATCCTGTTTGTATATCCTATAAATAAATAAATAAAAGAAATGTCTAAACTAATACAAGTTTCAATTTACAACTTGTACGATTACCTGCAGAGACGGCTTTGATTGCTATTAGTCATTAATCGGAGATAAACTTAGTACACCAGGTATTGTTCAAGTCGAGCACATGTACAGCATCAGTTATAAAACAAGTAAATCAGCACATATACAGCAGCAAGCATCATGAAACCTTCCATGAACTCATCCTCTCAAAGGGTCGTTACTTTACTTCAGAGGACCCGAAGCTGAGTAAGGAAAGCAGCACAGAGATCCAGGAAGAGGAACTGAGGCCCATTCACCCTCTGTAAATCGAGCAGATACTTCTCTTCACGCGTCTTGTATAGCTGTTGACAAAAGGGCATAAAATGACAAATTCCCTATTAGCAATTTGTTTGCACAAACTGTATTAAAACCATATAACTCTAATTAGCCTACTATAATAATAAATATCTAATATTATTGTTATTCAATGTATAAATATCAGTTCTGTAAGATTGTTTCTGTTCTTTATAAACTTGTCAAAAAAATTTAAAAACAGATATACACACACACATGCATATAGAGAAATGGTTTAAGCTTAATCTAATCCATATCTACCATATGTTTACTTAAAACAATAAAATTTACCACCTGCACACTAAAAGCCTATGATGCTTAACATGAAAGTCAACTAATTCACATACAAAAGCTCTTTAATTACATATGATGAAAATAAACTTAAGGTCTCAACTAACCTAAATATATAATCTTTTAGCAGAGCTTTAAGACAAGCGTCTCTTGAGAAATATTAAAAGAAAACTAATTCTTAATTGTATTGATTTGAAATGCAAGTTGTATAAATTATTACACATATGAATTTAAACAATAATCATAGATTTTTTTACCAAAAAAAAAAAGATTCAGGCATAATATTTGAATTGAAGGATTCATAATTCAAATTGTGAATTGTATCATAAATTGTAGGATTCAAATCATGTGTAAATAACCTATAATAATTGGCCCTGGACATGTGGTTCCATCATTACCACAATCAAATCTTATATATGTATGTATCTTATTTTCTCACGAAAGAGCATCTCAAAAGTGGTTATTCATTCCTAGACATGTGTCTACCCACTCAAATGGTAGTTACTTCCACTCTCAAAGAAATTAGTGGTACTTACCTCCGCTAAAAAGAAAAAAAACACACACACACACACAAAAGAAAAACTCATTTCAAATGATGTAGGATCCATAAAGTGGGGTATTATTTAGAAATAAAATTTGATTTTATCTCTTAAGTTAAATAACAAATTTATACATAAAAAGTCAGAATAAATTTACAACATAGAAAATGGGTGTCTAACAAAATTGGAGTACTGGCCCCATACTTGGTACAGGGGTCATCTTAGTGGAAAGAACATACAAGAGTGAAGCAGTGAAACAAGTAACAAACCTGCAATTCAAATTTGACCACAGTGGATGACCTCATAATTCCATCATCCTCTCCAAAATAATGGTTACCATGCACCACATTGTTGACCATGCTTTCTTGATGCCCAGAAAAGCCAGGAAACCATTTGCACTTCATGTTGTAGTGCCCAATCTTTTTCCAACCAACATTCAGTTCTTGCAAAGCTTTGAGAACCTCTGTCATTATCTCACGAGGGTGGGCTCGAGACTGTAAAGTAATAAATCAGTATTGTCAAATTAAGAAATACAAGACCACTTCTTTCAGGTTTGGAGGATGAGATAATGCCAAAAACCCCGCCAATCATACATACATACATATGACATAGTGGGATTGCAAGTCACAATTCAATTAGTTATAACAGTGATATCTCCAGAACCAGCAAGTGTGGTATCAGTTTACTACAACCATCTCTCCCATTGTAATCTTTAGGATGGCCAGTGAATAAATACATTACATTCATTCACCACCTAGTAGGTACCTCAAGGACTATGTCACATGTATAGCCAGAGACAAAGGCTTGTATGAATCATCCCATCCTGAATGAAGTACATAGAAAAATAAATGTCACCTGAAGTCCAAGAGCCCATTTTCTCTCAGATGGAAACTGGGTCCGTAATCCAATTCCTTGATGATCCATATATCCTGTAAGGTGGTTCCCAATGGCGGAAGCTGACATTTCACCAGGATGCATGCCAGTGAACCCACATTCCTGGAAAAATGAAAATCTCAATATGAAGATGCTAAGCTGAACTAGATAAATGTATGAATGAGACGACTGGTTCTATGAATGCACATGCCTTACAGGCACAGGCAGGCAGATAGAATGTGCAATAATAGAATACAAAGGATTTTTTTCCTTCGCTACCACATGAACATGTTAATTGTTTTATTAATTTTTCTTTGACATTTGAAAATATAAATTCCTTTTATACTTTACACTTGTTAGAGGGGTGTTCAATTAAACAGAAGTGAGGTCATTTCAGATTTTTAACAAATGAAATCATTTCTCATTCCTGTTAACACTCCTGGTAATTAGTCTAGTTTTTTTTTTTTTTTTTTTTGATAAATAGGTAATGAGTCCAGTTTACAAAACCAGCCTTAATGAAAAGATCAACTGAAAAGAATCTGGATGGAGGCACCATGATCATCCTGTTCAGTTGAGTTTCAATGTAGAAACCTTTAGGTGGGACCCACTAGATACAACCACTTTGAAGAGACTCCAGGAAAATCCCATAAAAAAGACTAATGATCACCAGCCAAGTAATGTTTGAGGCAGAGACCTCTTAGTTGGAAGCCCAAAAGAAGAAAACTTTTCATATTTCGTTATAATGAAAACAAATTGTGCATTAAAGCATAACCAGACCATTGATTCTTGAAACTCTGCTCCAAGATAACCATTAGAAACCCGGAATCTGTTGTCCAAGAGCAGGTAATATGTAACAGTTGCCTGAAAATGGTAACAAAGTTAGACCTCCAATTGAATATTAGAGCAGATATTTCAATCTAGAGCCATGAATGGTTTACCTCATTCTGTATTCTTTCTTGAAGAGATTCAATCAGGTGTTTTCTATCAAATCCCAAATTAACTACTTCCTGAAGAATATCCTTATCAATCTGCAATGATGCAGTAAAATGATGATTGATTATAAAGAAACTCCAAAGATGACAAAATAAATCCACAATAAAAAAAAACTCCAGCATTCACGAAACATATACATGGCCTGTGCAAGAAACATGTGTTGCATGTAAAATGTAGCCAAATGCTAATTGAGAACAGTGTACTATATAAGCTAATAAGCCAAAGGCTGAATCATATATACTATGCGTGTCAAATTATTGATGGTCTAATTAATACTAGATATCAAGAAAAAAATGTTAAGATGGATGCATAATAGAGAGGGAGCGAGAACTTTTATTGCATACCTCCACATGGCAGGAGTTCCCAAACCATAGTAAATAAAACCATCTCCCTAACACAAAATAAGTAAATAACCAATGGAAGGTCATACCTTTTTAGCTTGTTCCTTGGTATCTGGTGGAGGCACTGTCAAATACCGAGGCAGGTGTGCCTGAAACCATGGGTGCTTTCGGATCTCAGGAATTGTCATTCGCTTCATGGGGTCAACAATAAGCATCCGTGGAATTAAATCCCTTGCCCCAGCTGACAAATGACTTGGAAGTGTATAAATTCCACCCTGAGGACCAAGTGATATAAATATAGGGCATAAAGTTCCATGCAATAAATAATATGATTTGACAGGACATTCTTTGACAATAAAAAGAAATTCATTTGAAGAAAAAAAGAAGAGAGTCCAAACAGAGGTTTTTTTTTTATCAGCAAATAAGACTTTTATTAAGATCAGAGAAATATTGAATTACAAGAGTTGGGTTTCAGCACTGCATTGACCCAAGCTACAACAAATACAGACAATTACAGTTCTGCCCAGAACAAGGTAGATCTATTTGCCCCCTGTTTTGCTAGGAGTATCCGCCAACCCATTTGCAGTGCTTTTTGCCCAACCAAACTGAGAGTTGAAACTCCTTGCAAGTATGTCAATTTCCCAAAAGATAAATTTGAGCTTCCAAGGTGCTGATGTGATTTGTTTAGCCCAAGAAATGACCAGTAGTGAGTCTCCTTCAATTTCTAAATCTGTTGCTCCAATCTGCTCAGCCAGCTTTAAACCTTGTAGGAGAGCCAAAGTTTCAGCCTGAATTGAGTCACCAATACCTATTGATCCTGAGAAAAGTGCCACAACTTCTCCTTGATGATTTCTAAGCACACCCCCTATACCTGCCCTTCCGGGGTTGCCAAAGGAACTCCCATCAAAGTTTAGTTTTAATTTATTTAGTGCAGGTGGCTTCCACTCCACTCTCACAATTTCTTTGGGTACATCTGTTTGTGCCACTTCAGTCCAGTTCCTTAGAATGTCATTCGTGGAGAAGTTTTTGAAAAGTTCCATGGTCATCACCCAATGTGCAGTTCTGATTTTTATGGCTTCAATGACTTCCTCCTTTGATTTGCTTTTTTCAAAGAAAATTCTTTGGTTTCTTTCCGCCCATATAGTCCACACCACAGCAGCTCTTGCTGCCTTCCATAAGCACTTTCCTCTTTTTTTTTTTGTTGCCTCAGGCAAGGGGAGCTGAAGAGACTTGCTACATCCTATGGGGGAGCCTATCTGCATCCAAAGAGAGAACAAACAATTTCCCAAATACAAGAAACAAAAGAGCGGGCCAAGAGTAAATGGGGTAGGGTTTCACCACAAGCCTTACAAAGGACACACACATGAGGAGAGAGGCATCTATTTGGCCTTCTTTTTTGTAGTACATCACAAGTGTTTACCTTCCCTAGGAATACTTCCCAACAGAAGGCTTGTACTGTAGGAGGGATCAGTTTGCACCAGATTTCTCTCACTGGGAAGTTCACCCCCAAAATTTCAAAATGAGTGAGCAAACCGAAGAAAGAGGCACAAGAGAATAAGCCATCAGAGGTTGGGGACCAGATTCTACTATCAGCTGTATTTTGGTCTAAGTGGGCCTTCTCTAAGGTTGAGATCAAGAGCAATAGGGAGGCACATTCATTCTCTCTCAAACCCCTTCTGAAGCAAAAGTCCCAAGAGAGACCAAGTCTAAAAGTACGCCAACCCTATCAACAGGTTCATTTTTTTAATGTTTGACATGGTTTGACATGGTTTGACATGGAGTAGAGGTCAGGGAACTTGACACTAAACGGCAAATCCCCTACCCATAGGTCTTCCCAAAATAACACTTTATTGCCACACCCAACATCAAAGCGGATAAAGTTAAGAAAGGTTGGTAGTACCTCAAAGATTGCCTTCCAGGGGGAGTTTGGAGCTGCATTGGAGGCTAGTTTTTCATCCCAACCGTTTTCCACTTCACCATAAATGCTTTTAATGACCCTGTGCTACAACCTATCTTCTTCACAAGGGAATCTCCACAGCCATTTCCCTAGAAGGACCATATTTTTCTTTAAAATGTTCCTTGTACCACCTTGCTCCTTAGGTTTGCAGACTTGTTCCCACTTCACTAAGTGATCCCTCTTTTCACCACCGGGTTCCCACAAAAAATCCCTCATTATCTTTTCCAACTTCCTAGCTATTTTCACCAGGATCCTAAAGGCGAAGAGGAAATAAGTGGGCAGATTTGCTAGGGTGGATTTTATCAAGGTTACCCCCCCCCCCAATGGAAATATAACCTCTCTTCCACATTGCCAACTTCTTAGTGAATCTTTCTAAAACCGGTTTCCAAAAGCTTTCAGCTTTCGGGTTTCCCCCCAAGGGCATACCTAGGTATTCTAGAGGCTAGCTTTTCACTTCACAGCCTAGTAAATCTGCCATGGCTTGGATATCATCCACTTCTAAGTTTATTCCAGCTACACAACTTTTTCCCCAATTCACTTTTAGTTTTGAGGCCTACTGGAACTTATCCACCAAATTTTTCAGATTCCTCAAACTTGGTTCATCACAACTCTCACAGAAAATGATAATATCATATGCAAATTGCAAGTGAGACACCACCACCTCTGATCTACCAATCCTCCAACCTTTAAACTGATTTTCTTGGTCAGCCTTGATCATTTGTCTACTCAAAACCTCAACAACAAAGGTAAACAAGAAGGTGGATAAGGGGTCACCAAACAGAGGTTTTATCAACCTTCAGGTATTGGAGGTATTTTTAGGGATGAGGAGGGTAACTTCATCGCTATGTTCTAGGGGCCAGTTGGAGAAGGAGACTCCCTAAGAGCAGAAGTGTTAGCAGTAGTGGAAGGCATTCAAAAGGCAAAACAAATGAGCATCCAAAAGCTATTTGTGGAAGGAGACTCCAAACTAGTGATTAGCTGGTTATGAAATGGGGGATCAGAACTGTGGCTTTTCAACAATGAAGGAAGAAGATCAGGTGGCTAACCAGAGATGGAAATAGTGGTTGGGTGGGTTAAAAGATCTGCTAATTCTGTAGCAGATGCCTTAGCTAAACAAGGGGTGGAGAGAGATTCACTTTTCTGGGCACAACTGTAAGGGATCTGATTGTTGGGGATGAAATAAGAGTTTTATCTCTCACAGTCCGACTGTACTTAATGTATTGTACCTTCCATTATATTAATTAATAAAAGGTTGAGTTATTGATCAAAAAAAAAAAAAAAAGAAAAAGAAGAGAGAAACATTTTCTGGTGATGACATGAGACATGATCAAACACTGTAAACCACCTAACTTGCCTACTAGTGGAAAACACCCCAATGCCCTCTAACCACTTTGATAACTCAACCCAAACCCCTGCCTGCAAACCTTTACAATCAGCCAAAGTCCAGATTACAACCTGATGCCTATCATATCTCCTAAAAATAACAAAAGCTCACAACCTTTATCGCACATATATATTGATCTGCGACCAACATTGAGCGAGTCCCATTCAGGAATCTCCTATCTCAAAAGTTAACCAAAGCAAAACCAACCATCTAGGATCCAAACTCTTTGCACAGCAGTGTTTTTTTTTTCCTTTTTTGATCAGAAACAGTTATGATGATTCATGAAATTTACACCATTTTATCTCTTGTCCTTATGTTACCTCTATTTGGAATTGGTGCTTCTCTTTTTTTGGTTGCAGGTGGACTTTACCTACAAGTTTGGAGACTTTGTTTGCAGGTGCAACTTTCAGATGGCCACAGAAGCGAGGGAAAGTTTTATGGAAGTGCACTAGGGCTGCTGTGCTGGGAAAAAAGAAATGCAAGAATCTTGAGGAAAGACATTTGGAAGCTCTTATGAATTGCATCCAAATAAGGGTGACACATTGGGTCAAATCTTTGGATCTATTTTGACCCTATACTGTTGATGATATAAAAAAGAAATTGGAGGGAAGTGGCCTCTTCATCTACCAGAAAAGTGAAAACCATCAAACCTTGGACACAGTCCTCAGAAAGCTTTATCAAACTTAATTTTAATGGAAGCAGTCTCAGTAACCCTGGCCCTTCAGGCATTGGGGGAGTCTTTAGAGATAGAGAAGGGAATATATGAGCCATTTATTCAGGCCCTATTCGGTTAGGGGATTCCATTAGATCCTAACTGTTTTTTGTCCTGTGTGGGACTCAAATAGCAAAAGAGCTAAACATGGAAAGGCTGATTGTAGAAGGGGATTCTCAAGTGGTGATTAGTTGGCTAAAGGATGTAAAGAAAGCAGCATGGTTGTACCGAGAAGGAGTTTCTGAGGGTATTAGCAGTGGTGTATCAATAGGTCCCAAGGGAGGCAATTTTTTTTTTTTTTTTGAGAAAACCCAAGGGAGGCAAATGAGCTAGCAGATTTTCTAGCTAGACAAGGGGTTGATAGGGAACATTTGTATTGGGCTCATCTGTGAATTTGTACTCTTTGGGTAATCATACCCCTTTATTAATCAGTGTATGTTACTGTTTATATTAATGAAATGTTTTAACTGTTAACAATCAAAAAAATGATGATTCATGAAACTTTGCTAAATGTCTTAAAAGAAGATAGGCATCATCTTAATGGAGTTAGAATGAGGGGAGAATACAAAACACAGCCCAAGGCTGACCACATGATCAACTTATAGGTCATCAACCACCAAATGTAATCTTGAAGCCATTATAAAAAATGCTCTTAAATGTAGCTCCAACACAATCCATGTGAATCAGATCTTGTCTTCTTTTTTTTTTTTTTTGATGAATGATCTTGTCTTCTTTTTCCTTTTTTTGTTTCTTTCTTCCATTTACTTATGAAAACTATCATAAAAAATAATCAAGACTATGTATTATATAGTTGGTTTATCTAAAATAAAAGAGAAAATGAGAAATACCTTAATTTTCTTGAATAGGTTAGGAATGTTTTCGTCGTCAAAGGGAAGAGTACCACAAAGAAGAGCATACAAGATAACACCACAGCTCCAAACATCTACCTCAGGCCCTGCATATAGTTTCCCAGAAATAACCTGCACAAAAGTTATGATAATATTTCTTGAGTTTCAATAATTTCCCTGCTTTAACATCACAAGTTTCTTTAGACTCTTCTAAGTGTATAATGAAGGGCAGGGCCACAGGAGTAGGATATATTGCCATTCACTACATACCTCTGGAGCAGCATAGTTTGGGCTTCCACAGCTTGTCTTTAGAAAATGGCCATCCCTCATGACATTGCTCAAACCAAAATCAGCAATCTTCACATTGAACTTTGAATCCAAAAGTAGATTTTCTGGCTTGAGGTCCCGATGAACCACCATATTTCTGTGGCAGTACTCCACACCAGATATAATCTGTTTAAGATAGAATTTACTGATTTAGGGGGCATAACCCAAAAAAAAAACAAAAACAATTCTGAAAATAAATAAACGAATAATAGTTTTTTACAAGGAAATGATCTGCATGTCTACCTGCTGGAAAAAATGGCGAGCTTCATCCTCGTGTAACCTACCCTTTTCTACAATGTAGTCAAATAGTTCCCCAGACTTCACATATTCCATGACCACATAAATGTCTGTTGATGTCTCTATAACCTCATAAAGTCGTATAATATGAGGATGCATAAATAATCTCAATATCTTAATTTCTCGTTTCACTGCAAGAAATCAAGCATATATTTAATGTGCCCATCAAGAAAAGAGAAATGAAGCATAGGCTAATAAAAGAGGATCTTGCATCATGCAAGACAAGTATCTATGAGCATGAAATGCAAATTGTTTGTATGTGTCACAACAGAGCAACAAGCATAAGGTTTTCTTACCTTTTTCTTCCATTTCCATTCCTCTTATCTTACGGCGGTTGAGAATTTTCACAGCAACTTTGTGCCCAGTTAACATGTGTTCTGCAATTTTAACCTTGCCAAATGACCCAATACCAAGTGTCTTCCCAAGTCTATAGTTCCGTAAAAATGTATCTACAGTGCTAGCACTATTTCCAGTTGGTCCTTCCATCTGCATATTGTAAAAGCATGGAATTCAAAACAAGCATATTTGAAGAAGCAAAGGATACATGAAAAGGTTTGCACCAGAAACAGAGGACATAATAAGCTGGTCCTCTATGCCTATGCTGTGCATATGACCACAAGAAGTGCTCTGATGATATGGTTCACCATTCTATGGGTCATTCCAAACAAATATGCTAAATTTAAGATCAACTTCAGCAACTAAAAACCAAATAACCCAGAAAATATTTGTTTGTGTATTTCACTTATCAATTTCTTTCATATAAAACTTCAAAATCATAGTACTAAAATTATGTTAATGCTAAAAGAAATATGGAAATACAATTACATAATTCACAACATTTTTTCCTCTTTATTTGAAGGACTGCAATAAATCAGAAAGTTAGAATAACCAAATACGCTAATCTTTATGTATGAAATGTCTCCTAAGAATTAGGTGCAATAGGTGGTAATGGAAAGAATCACAGTTTAGGAAACATTCAAGTATACAATTCAGTTTAGATAATTATTAATACAGATGATAGTTCAATTTGAAAAAAAAAAAAAAGAGATATGTCAAGATATCTATTTATAATGCATTAACAAAATAGACTAATCTTTATGTATGAAGTGTCTCTTAGGAGTCAGGTAAATTAGGTAGTAATGAAAAGAATCACAGTTTAGGAAACATTCAAGTAGATAATTCAGTTTAGATAATTACTAATACAGATGAAAGTTCATTCTGAAAAAATGGATATGTCAAGATAACTGTTTACAATGCATTAACATGATTGCAGTTGAAAAGTTTGTTAACCAAAAAAAAATTGAAATAAATATGTTCACGTATTTCAAATATGCATGCATTTATAAACTTGGATTTGTTTTTCCTTGTTTTATACCTGTATATAATAAGGTATATCTAGAAATAGATAAACTAACACAACCATACATGCAAGGTATTAAATTCAATATGACAGTAACATTTATTTGGCCAAAGAACAATATTCAAATGGGGCAATCATCCAAACAATACAAGAACTTCTACTGTATCTTGTCAAACAATCACTACCTGACTTTTCAAGGTTTAACCACTTCCCCCAAACTCTTCCCTTCAACTCATTATATTTTCTGTTTCAGCGGAAGTGGAATAAGAATTCGCCATGGGTTTTGCTTCTTCATCAACAATCATTTTCCAGCAAAATATATTAGGTATCCTACTCTTTTCCAGCTGGATGTAAACATGAGGTAATGGCACATCAGAATTTTTTTTGTAAGGTAAAGTAAGATTTTATTAATTCAGATAGTACAGATTACAACAGAAAAGCTAGCCACATAAGGACTAGATAGGGCACAAAGCCAAGTTACAGACTCCAAATGGACTTTGATCTAAACAAATCGGGTACATTCAGATTCTTAAAGTCAGGATTTACAGACACCCAAGAAATCAGCTTGCTGATCGCCTGCTGCACTACCCCATCAGTATTCTTCGTCTTGTTACAAAAGACTCTCCTGTTTCTCTCTGACCAGATTACCCAAAGAACAGCCGCAGGAATTGTCTTCCATATTAACTTTCCTTTTTTCTTCAGGCCTGTAATCTCCCAGCTGAACAGAAGGTCTTTGACTGAACTTGGCATGACCCAGCAAAGTCCAACAGCCCTGAGAAAATGATCCCATACTCTAGAGGATATAGGACAGTGAATGCACAGGTGGTCTGTGGATTTAGGCAATAGACCATAAAGACCACACAGCAGGAGATGAGAGATGAAGACCCCTCCTATCCAAAGTGATTTTAGAGAGGCATTTGTTCAGCACCATTGTCCACACCAAGGAAGTTGGATTCAGAGGGAGAACTAGGATTCCAAACTTGATTACAGGGGAAGTTAACACCACCAGTGCTACTGAGTTTAGAAGTCAGGGATTTAACTGAGAAGCAGCCATCCCTACTCCAGATCCATTTCCATCCATCTTCACATCAGATTTTACTTTGGGGAAGAAAATCTGTTATTATATCCCTTGCCCCAGTCAGATCTAGTTGAAAATCTTAGATTGCACCTGATGGGATGATGTACAAGGACTGTTCAGACTTCAGATATGATGAGGAAAGGACATGCTTTTTTAACTTTGACATAACCATAATATTGAACATTTTAATGGTTTTTCTTGATTTTGTGTTATGCAATTCAAGAGGGGGAAAACCTTACATTTATGAAAATATGGTAAAGCCTGGTAAATGAGGATCACTGAACACAATTTAATGGTTAATTTGGGAATAGTTGTCCCTATATAGGATAGGGAAAATGATGATGACACATGTCCTTATTTGCACTTTATCTTGGAGAAGAAATTAAGAAGCTTCTTACTTAAAACTTGTTCTTGATACCAAAAATGCCAGGAATGTTAATTTGTTTTTAATTTTGATATCCCAAGTGTTATGTAAATAACTGTTAGCAACTTTAGAAGAATTAATTGCATCCAATCTCCAAAGCTTCAAAACAAAACTTAGAAGTTTCCTTAATTAATGTGCATAGTTCTATCATTCAATTTGGGTATCAAATATCCTCCAGACTGACCAATAAACTTTGAAGAAAATTTTATAGTGCAGAAATTAAAGAAAAAAAATAAATGCACCAGGAATAACTTGTTCAAGGAATTATGGAAAAACTAATTCTAATGCTCCAAAGTGGTTATTACTTATTAGAGAACCTAAATGTGTGCCATCTACTTGACAGGCTTGGTTTCATGCTTCCTTGAACTCGATTTTCAACATTCAAAGTGTTATGTCTAAGTCTTTACAAATTGATGCAAAGTACACGCAAATAATTTTAGTAACCAATTTCATCAATCAATATCAACCATCTAAGCAATAGACTTACAGTGAGGGATGAAACAGAGACCACTGAAATACCTAACAATATAATCAAGAAAGCAAGTAAAACAAATCATCATTTGATAACTATGAAAACCCTATACCCTACAATTAATATACATTGATTCAATTTTCTTTTGTTGCTCATCTTATCATTTAATTGCATGGATCCAGCAAATCAAAGGCCGTTTACATATCCTACAATTTAGTATAAAAGAGAGGGAAACAAAACAGTAATAAGATATTAACTTATCAGGAAGCCCATCTCTTATTTCATTTAACAAACAGCTGGTCACCAACAAATCAAAATTGAGGGTACCAGAAAAGAAACAACACTTATTGATCAAAAAGAAAAAAAGAAAAAGAAACAACACTTCAATTTTACTTATGTCAAAGAAACATGAATCCAAGAAAAAGTATTTGATTCTCTATTAAATAAAGCATAAATCGCAGAACACCTAAATACTATAACAAAAACAAAATATTCAACACCACTTGGAACACAATAGAACCCAAGCTAGAACCAAACCATAGAGAAAAAAAGGGGGCAAAGATACAAGAACAACAATAAAACTTCTACATAGAAAATTCAAGGATTCAATAAACACACCTATAGAGAGAGAAATGAAGAAGAATCTTGAGAAAGCGAAGAGAAGAACTCAAAATCAATCTATCAAAAAAAGAGTAGTTCAACAACGCGGATGATTTCTTTGGGAGGGGGGGAGGGGGGGGGCTTGAGAAACAAAATATTTGCTAAGTGCTACTCTCGTACCCTTAATCGACTTCTAATATAGCCTACAGGTCTTAGAAGCACATGCGAAAGCACACAACAGCGGAATCTGACACATGCTTGAAATTAGACAACTAATGATTCAAAACCATGAACTAAAAAGTAAATCAACCTATTGAACCAGACGATAAGAAAATTCAGGAAATAGCAAAATAAAAAAAAAAAAAAACACCTCAAAGTCGATTGGAGATCAGAACTTCGTCCGGGAGAGCACTGTTAGTTCCCGAGCCAAAAGAACGTCGTCAGTTCAGAACGGGGCTGAGAGACTTCATACTTAGACAGATTCGATCTTCCGAAACAGGAATTATGGCTAATTTGAGCTTGGAGGACCTACAAAATAGCAACTTCGTGGAATCAAATCTAGGAAAATATTCTCTAAAACGAGAAAGGTAAGATTATGCAAACAACAAGGACGAAATTGAAGTTGAAAAAAAAAACATTTTTTTTTTCTGAATCATTATTACAGTGTCTGCATCTTTTTGAAGAAACTCACTTCGAAATTCAAGAATTTCCAAAAAAAAAAAACCATGAAAGTTCGCAAAAGTAGCATACTGTGCCAATCGCCTGCCGTGGATAAATCAAAATTCTCGATTTAATCTTGAAAAAATCAAGCTAAAAAGATGGGGGAAGACTTGTTTTTGGAAGCTGTCAACGTCACAGCTGTTCTGTGAAACGCTGGAGAGTATGAGATGCTCAGACTTTCGATTCAGCGTCGAACCGGAGAATATAAGATCAAATTCATTAAGGGAACACATGGACCGGAGATGGGCCAAACAAAAGAAACACAGCTGCGGAACGATGACCGGCTTACGTACTCGGCCTCTGGTAACCGAATCTAATCAGGCCGGGGTTCAATTCAACGTCTTTTCAGCATGGAAATTGGAAAGCCCTAAGGCAGAAAGCACTGCTTTCAGAGTCAAGACAAAATAAGGTCGTGTTTGATACAATTGGCGTTTTAACCTGCAATGTTCTCGCAATGTTTTGAGTTGAAACGCTGTTGTTAAAACACAGATGCTAGTATTTGTACTTTTTTTTTTAAGGTTGATACTAGTATTTGTACTTGAATCCTATTTTGTGAGAAATGTCGTATTAAAGTATTTTTCATCCATATCAATAATGTCAGCGCCACATCAGTTAGGGCGTTGAGACTTTGCTTGTCGGAGTAGGAAACATCAAATTGGTCTTTTTTTTTATGGATTTCTATGTTTGACTGCTTTAACTGAAAAAAACCTCCAACCAAACTGAAAATTGACTGTCAAACATAAAATACGATGTGGCGCTAAAATGGCAGCATTTATACATAATTATACTTGAAGCATCAATAGTGCCAAACAGCCCCCCAAGAAAAGCACACCACGCCCTTGGTTTATTGCCACATCAGCAAAATTATGTTATTGTTGCTATTTCACCGTTTGGTACCATTGATATTGCAAGTAGTGTTTTCAACAGCAGCCGTTCAACCATCAACTGGCCTTGATTTCAGGTCCAGTTATAGTGAAACTCATCATTTTGGTCAAAATATTGCTTTGGTAAAAAAAAATGTTTGACTTAGGCGGTTCAATCATTGAGCCTTTTCAATCTAGTCATCACATTACAGATTATACATTTTTTCTTTGATTTTGGGTCAAATGTGCCTTGTCCTACTATTTTTGTCAAAAAAACTTTTTTTTGTGCCTCTAATTGCAATCTTTAGCGTTTAAAAAAAAAAAAAAACTAAACTAAACTAAAAACTGAATTAAAAATTATAAGGGTAAATTATAGATAGGTACCTTGTACTTTGGGGTAGTAACACTTAGGGCCTGAACTTTCAAGTGCGACATTTTAGTACATTAAACTTCTAGAAATATACACTTGAGTCCAATTCCATTAAAACCAATGTTTTAAAAGCCAATCCAGAAATGGAACAGCTCTAGCCACCAATTTTTGAGTCAATAGTTCAACCGTTCGAGTTTAACGATTCAGGTGGTTTAGAATATTAGGGCAAATAATATTCATTTCAGTCTTTTGTAAGAAGAAACACAAAAATTGAGAAAGAAAGAAAGAGAGGAAAGGAAAAAAAAGAATGAGGGAGGGAGGGAGGAAAAGGAAGAGGAAGAGGAGAGAAGAAGAATGAAGAGGAGCATAAGCATCCGACATTCATCGGCGATGATGATGGCAATAGCAGCAATAGAAAACTTAGAGGCAAAATCTCTCTACAGATCTCTGATCTGATCTGCAACTCTCTTTTTTTCTCTCTCTCTCTCTATCTATCTATCTATCTATCTATCACTTGTTGGGATACTAGTGATCTCAAATCTGAGTTCCCTGCAATCTTGCTTCTCCCTCTCTCTCTCTCTCTCTCTCTCTCTCTCTCTCTCGTTGGGATATTAGTGATCTCAGTCTCCTTTGCAACTTCTTGAAATGTGAACCACTGTCCAAGTTGAACAAGTCGGTGGTTCAACCACTCAGGTCAATGGTTGACCAAGCCAATCTTTTTTGCCCAAGAACGGGTTAAGGGTGAAACGAAATATATATCACTAACATGGGCGCAGTTTGACCTGTGACCCAAGAGGAAAATATGGTTCGACGTGTGGGTCAGTTTTTAAAACATTGGTTGCAAGTATAAACATTGCCACATCAACACATCATAGGCATCTTGTGTTTAACAATCAATTTTTTGTGTTTAGTTGGAAATGTTTCAAATACAAATATTCCACTTTGATAAAGCAATGTCTCAACACCTTTGACTAATATGTTGACATGGATAAAAAGCACATATTTCTCACCAACAGATTATAGAATTCAAGTAGAACAATGGTGCTTGCATTTTATTTCAAGTATACAAGTGTTTCAACTTAGAACATTGCAGGTTGAAGTACCAATAGCACCAAACGCAACCCTAACCCTAACAATTATTTTATGGCACGTTTGGTTGCCGAGAAAAGATGAGACTAGAAGGGATGGGATGGGAAGAGAAAATATTTTTTTCTTAGATTTGTATCCTGTGTTTATTTCCCAAGAAACGATATGCTAAATAATCAATTTCCTACGTTTGTTTATTGAGAAAACAAGGAGATTTGGACTGTAGATCTTTAACAGTCATTCATCATTTTGGATCTAAAAATAGTTAGGATATCTTACCTTTTGTGCAAGTGAGCAGGGAGATTTGGACCCTACAAGTTAGAAAACAAACAACAAAAAATGTTAGATCTAAGATAGAAGTGTAGATCTGTAGAAAAAAATCAAGGTTACATGTCGGAAAGAATGGATTCTGGCTGTAGAGTAGCCATCTCTTCCCATCGACAAGAGGAGTTCGATGGCTACAAAAATAGTATAAAAAAATACTCATTGGTCATTGGTGGTCATGTTCGTGGTTGTACCTTGTCCAGAGATCAACGATAACGACATCAACGAGAAGACCGTTGTTGATGCAGGTTCACGGTGAGGGTTGTCTAGAAAGAGAGCAAGAAGAAGAGCCCAATCTTTTTATCTTAGAAGTTTCCTTTTGCACCGGGTCCACACCAAATCAACGTGACCCCGTTTCATCCATTTTGGGAACCCGCACCCCACACATTTCCCTTCCCATCCCTTCGAACAAATGCTGAAAAATCGGAATCTTATGGGAATATTCCCATTTCCCCTTTCCCATCGCAACAACCAAACATATCATTAGGAAATTGTATTCCACGGGAAAATGTATGGTATTTATCATTTTCTTAGTTTTCACAAGACCTGGAAAACAAGAGTGTATTGCCAAAAAATAAAACAAGAGTGAACAGTTGAGAATTTTGAGTATTGAAAGATATGAATGGAAGAGGATAAAATCCATATTCAAAAATGATTATGGAAATTTAGAAAAAATAGTGGCAATGACCTTGTAAGTTGGGGTGTATAAGAGCATGGCATCAACAAAGCACATAGATCCAATTGACTCAAGACTAATCTCATGACAAACCGGTCCATTTTGTTATTAATAAGTCACATGTTTTAAATGTGTAAAGAGAATCTTCCAATAAAAGGGTAAAATGGAAAAAACACAATTTAGGAAACCTTTTGAATGTGCACCAAAAGCCTATAAATAGATGATCCCTATTCATGGGACATTTTTTGGACCTCATCCTCCACCCTTGAGCTACCACTGCTCTCCTCTCTCTTCTTATTCCATCTCAGTCATTCTTCTCCAATGCACTCGCCCACCATCCTCCTCCTTCATTGCCAGAATTCCAACTCAAGCGAACTACAAATGGTCTGATCCCTTTCCAGAGGGTATGTAAGTAGTCCCTCTAGGGGTCCAATCACTTTCTCCTCCTCCACTTCTTTTCCCTTTTCCAATCAACCGCCTAGGTAATTCCTCACACTTCGGAGTAAGACCACCATGGGATATCACTTGGCATCCCTCCAATTATTGAGGCATGGGATATAACCTGCATAACTGCAGATTCTCTGTGGTAAGGTCAATGGACTGTGCTCTGTCCCACCCCTTAATCTCTATAATATATTAATAATGAAAAAATAAAACACACAAAAAGAAAATTTAAGGAAATTGTTTGTATGTTGAGCCCAATTTTATTGAAAAATTCTATAACCATGATTAGATTGATCAACCCTTGTATTAGTAGTATGTTTCTTAGAAATATACAATTATGAATGAAAAATATTACAATACAAAATGCAGAAAAGAACTTCAAAGTTAAAATGAATAAACAAAAAAGGGCCAAATATAGTTTTTGGTGAACAATCTTAGGTCCTAGTAGTGGTAGCAGGGCGAGACACCCCCTCCCTATCTCCACCCTATAGCCAAAACACCCTACCCCATCCCTAGTGATGGGGCAGGGCAAACCCACTCCCATCAAAGACGAGGAATCCCCAAAATTTCCTTGCCACAGCACAATCACCTAAAAATACATCTAATTTATAAGTATTTTAGAAATAGGAGTATGAAAAATTGAGGTCTTTTAGGAATTGGATTATAACAATTTGAGGGTATTATAAAAATAAAATTATGGGATTTTAGGATTTTAAGAATTTGAGAGAAACCTAGAAGTATTTTAGAAATTAATGTTAAAACTAGAGATATTTTAATACTTTACCATTATTGAGTTCAGAAACCCCGTCCCCACCCTATCCTTGATTTAGGGTAAAAATATTTTTCTTGTTCCCATTTAATATCAGGAAAAACCCATCCCATTCAGGGTAATAGGTCCTTTGAAACATTGAACATAGGATGTATAGATGGAGCAGGGCTTCCAAAACTTGCGGCCCGTTCCATAATTCAAGCATTGGGTCCACCATCAAATATCTTTTATTTGTACATGGACTGGGCCATTCTTACGACCATGGTCATTTGATTCCAATGAAGTTAAAGTGAAGCACTATGCATAAGGCCCAAACAAAAGATTAAAAATAACATTCTCTGCCCCACTTTAGATCTAAATTGTGTTTTTTATTGTAAATAGAACCTAGTAAATAAAATAAAAAGTCCAAACCTTTTCATGTCATGATTGACCATCTCGGCCACCATGACCATTGTCATTTATCTGTCAATATTCGACTCAATTCTTTCTTCCAAAATTAAACACCACCTCACAAAATAAAAGAAAATCCACTTATTTTCAAAGCTAGGAACTCAAGTTTGAACTGACCGGGTTCCATGGTCAAACTTGACATGTCAAGGTTGACTTGAGAATGGAATGGCCGAATGGGCAGATAATTTAATTTAGAATTTTTTTGAGTTGTGCTGTCTCATATATTTGGGGAAAAGCTGTAACAAGGAAAAAGTGAATGGAAATGGAAGTTGATTTTCAAGTTCTTGTAATAGCTCATTACTTTACACCACTCCCTCTTACCAATATCATGCTTACTGCCGAGGGAGAGGGCACCAATAAATACTCAAGCTTAGTGTACCACGCATTCAAAGTTTCAAACCATAGAATGGAGCCAAAGGCTTGGCTCCTTTGCAACACTGCAACTCCCAAAACCCTAACCACATGCCATGACCTGACAATTGTCAGAAAATAAAATGGAATGGAGCAGCAGTTAGATGGAATCATGGAACTTCTGCATGTGTCATGGGAAACTGATATTTTATTCTCCAACCACAAAGCCCCATCTATTTCTATAATCTCAATCAACGTTGTATAAAAACACCATCACCCTAACAAAGACTGCCTTGAAACATGTAAACATCCATGACAAGCATCCTGCACTCGTGATAAAAATAGCACACAGACGTATGCTCTCCGTGATCAAGATGAGTTTCTTGTTCAGGTCATATTGCAGTCACATTAGAAGTAGCCAGAATCACATCTCTACATATAGAATGTGGTGAAAGACCCACTCAGTAACCGGGAATAGAGGAAAACCGATAGCCATCAGCACCCCTCCATGAATAATAAGCAATTCGCGTCTCATAAAAGCCTGCAGACATGCATCAAATTAGCCCACATCTTTCTAATAAAAATAGTTGTATAAGCTATAAACAAAAAAAAAAATCATAATCAATAAATGATAACTGTATAAAAATGTAGGCATATTCCAATGATTGCATCCAACTTGAGATAGTACCGGATCACCAGATCCGGTATTTACAAGAAACTTATCTATAGGGTAAATGCAATTACCCAGGTAAGTACATTTAGGCGTGTGTAATGTTAGTTGGGTGAGCAAGAGAATTTCCTAAAAGACTGCTAATTTCTATGTGCTGGTAAGGGCATTTTAGTCCTACATTGTTTGGCCAATTTTCCCCTTCCAGAGGTAACTTACCCACCTGGGAGATGGGTAAGACTTTCTCAGGTAAGTCACCAAAAAACTTACCTGGGGAAAATTATGCAGTGACAAGACCAGATCATTGTGACCCAACCCAAGAGGAAAGGGGGGAAAATGGCAGAGGTTTAATGAGCACTCTCTTATCATGAACCTAGACTCCTCTAGCATCTTGTATGGCACTTGGGAAGCAGTTTGTCGCACCACAAGTCGGCCTTCCCTGCTTAGAACACCCTCTTGGCTCTTAGGAGCAAGTAACTTACTGACCTCTACCACATACTTTGTCGCATACTTAAACAACTTAGGCACAAAGCACACACGGGCAAAGAGAAAAGAATTCTTCGTATTGCTCAAGAGAGGGAGATTGCAACTCTTGGATGCCTCCACCAAATGAGGGTCAACCTGCCCTTGGGCTTTACAATGAGTGTTCCAGATATGGACATGTGTTATACATCCAACAGTTGGATCCTTTCAGACTTCTTCTAGAATACTCTACAAGTATGCTCTAGAACATCTCCAGAATAATGTACATGTATATACAATGTCCAAGGGTATTCTTGAATCTTCCGTAATGCTCTTGAAACTTCTGAAAGCTTCTAGAGTGTTCATTAAACCTCTTCCATTAGCCCCCTTTCCTCTTGGGTCGGATCAATTATCTGGCCTTGTCACTCCCTGACATGACTTGAGATGCCACCATTAGTGACTGCTACGAGATAATCAGGGATCAAGTGGTGTGGTTTCATATTCTGCTGTAAATGATTGGGAAGCTGATGTTCTGGTGTCCTCACTAGCTCATCTCAACCATTCTAATATTCTATTATTTCATTGGGTGGAAAAGACTCCAGAATCTGGTTGGCTGATTGAACTGGTGCGTTTACAGTGAAATCCTTTTACAATTCTCTTCTGCATCCAACAGAAGACTCCTTCCTTGGATGTGTTTCTCACATCCCCTCCATGATCTCCTTTTTCATGTAACCTGTACAGTGGACAAAAGTTTGACAATTAATCATCTCTTTTCTAGAGGAAAGGTTCTAGATAACTGCTGTAGCCTTTGTGGACTGGAGGAGTAGACAGTCCCCCACTTGCTTTTATATTGTAGTTTTACACTTTGACACCTGGTCTCACTTGGGCTGTTCAAACCATCTTGGCTCACCCCTAAGGACATGCCTCATCTACTTTTGGCCAGTAAGGGGTTTTGTAGATGGGGTTCTATTCTTTGGAATCTTTTACCTTTTGTACATTGGTGCATTTAGAAAGACTGGAATAGTTTGCATCTTTGACACAATAATCTCCTATTGAGGCTTTTATTGGTAGGAATGAAAGGACTTCAATTAGATGCTCATTGGTCATGAAGGACTTATGCTGGGCAAGAATTCAAGCATTTTGAAAGACAACGGGATAGTAATCTTTTTGGTTCTTCTTTTGATGAGGAGCCATATATGCATGTATACATGTAGAGTTGCTTTTATGGTTTCTCCTTTTTTCATATAGAAATACAATCCCTTAACTACTTATCAAAAATATTATCCAATAATTTTGAATATGTTTTCTTATGAACTAGTTCAATTACATGTGCAGAACACTATCATAAATTTGCAAATTTGCATTTCCAAGGCTCAATTTTTAAAGGAATAAGAAGAAAATAAGGCTGCGTTTGGATTCTAATGTGTAGCATGTAATACCAACAAAAGAAGCTGCATTTGGATTGCAGGAGTGGGATTGGATTTGAATTCATCTCTTGTGTCAATTCTACATAAATGAAATACACAACAGCCCATATTATTTTAAATTTCACTAAAGCACGGAGTTGATTAATCAATAGAATCAACAGGATTTATGAATCTATGTAAACATTTAGGCTCAGTTTGGAAAGTATACAAATACAAAGATGCAGAGTGCAAAACCTTCTATTTTGTATTACTTTATGTGTATTTGCACTGTACATATTTGTTTTGTACTCTTTCCAAAATGAGCCTTAGCAAAATTTGCAGCAGACTCTTCTATGTGCAAAACAACTAAGTTAATTCAATCAACTACAATAAAACCTCCCTATGAAATAAAGTATATATTATGATGACAATTAAGAAAGCACAAGTAAATTTTGAGCACAGAATGAACTATGAAGTCCTTGTGCGGGGGGGGGGGNGGGGGGGGGCAGTGATGTGGGGCAAGTCGATCGAGAAAATTGGTGAGTTCAAAAAAGTAATGACTCGTAAAAACAACAATAAGGAAATCATGACAAATAAAACAAAATTGTCACAATTGTCTAACAAGTCATTAATTCAATGAACTACTGCAATAAACAAACCAACCTATTCCTATTTCTATTTATAATCTTAACACTCAAGTAAATACTAATTCTAAGAACACTCCTATTCCAATAGAAGAAAGCATTTTATGATTCTAAGAAGAAATTACAGTGCAATGGCTAGCACAGTTCCTGTAGACCATTTTCAAGGCCCATCCTAAGCATCTTCAAGTTGCCCAGCATTCTTACAAATAAACATACAGACAAATCCACATGCCTCAAACTGGAAATTTGAGTATGACTTCAAAGTACTCAGGCCTCTCTAAATTCTATTCTGATAAGACTTTGGATATTAACATCACTGGAGAAAAGAATGTCACTCGTGGGCTTAGTCATCCATAGTGATAAATATGTATGACCAGCATGTTATACGTGTACTAATTAATGAAACTGCCACTTATTTTAAAAAAGTCCAATATAGTCCAAACCATCTTATACAAGCCCACTTTTTCTCCTGAGCTGAAGGGCAGCAGCAGCTTATTAAAAAATGCAGGTCCAAACTCAAAATAATATGAGGAATATATTGGAGGAGTCAGACTTAATAGAGCCAACCATGTGCTCACTGTAATTGATAACCTAGTTAGTCTAATTGCAACTCTAATTGCAATTGCCCAGTAGGTGATCTCCAAAATCTGGGCAGGACCATAGTGTCCAGTAGAAGCAAAAAGTTTGAACAAAATGTAAACAATTCAAAGCATAAGAGAATAATTATAGAAAATGGAAGGGAGAAGTAAGCTCTCTGTATCTATGCCTTACATGTCACAGAGGCAGCATTCTGGTATATGTTTTCACTGCTCAGTTGATCATAGCAAGGATATCTCATAAGATGAGATGAAAAAACAATGCAGACTACTAGTGGACATTCATGGTTCAGGTGGAAGACCACTCCTTTGATGATTGGGGATAATGGAAACCCATCTCCAGATATATCATTCTGAATACTATTTTACTAGGTTACAAATAGTTATATTTCCTTTTTTTTACTTTAATTGTCTTAAAAAATATTTCTTTCATCATCCTCACAAATTCTTATCATGTATTGCATCTAGTCAACATAGGGACGGTTGCATGTAGTCATGTAAAGCCCTCCACCTTCTCCCCTATGCTTTCTAAGCACAATATAATCAGGAAAGATACTCAATGATAAATTTCAGTGGACATCAATTTCTGAATTAATATTCCCTAGTGGAACTAATCCATCGATCATGGAACTAAGAGAACCTTGGCTGTTATTAGCTTCATTCCTTACCCAACTGACCTCTTCAATCCTTCTATCAAACACTTAACTTGCCATCCAGTTCCTCAAACAATTCACAATCCTTCAAGATGTCAAAATTGGCAAACAATTTTCACCAAACTTTGCTTATACCAACAAGATTGCAGGTTCCAATTTAAAACACAGCTTTAAAAGAGATTATAAAGGGGGTGTACTCCATCCACAATGTTTAGCATTCATCAAAGCCTCTACAATTCTAAGTTAATCACATCAAGCTTCATAAACAAAGAGAAGGAAGGAAAGAGACAATATTCGCATACCTGGAAGGAAGGTGAGGATTCCAAGCATTAAGAGGCCATAAGCCTGGGACCGCTCACCACCCATGTGGCCTGTGAAGATGAAGAAAGAAAGAAATAACAGTATGGATCCAAGAAAGAGGAGGAAGAGTGCAAGGGCAATAGACTTCCATGGAACCCTATCAAAGGACCTGGGAGTGTACATGAACCGAGGATCATATTCCCTATCACCGTCGTATTCCCCCTCGTCATCTCCAGGGAGAGGGCTGTAACGAACATGGCGCCGAGATGCCATATCAATAAATCCCAACTCTTACAATTCACAAATGTATATCCAGACACATGGAGCTTCCAAGTTCAAATCAAATTGAGCTGCTCCAAAGATCAAATGAACAAGAAGATGCACCGCAGAAACAAAATATGAATCAGAAAACAAATGAAACTAATTGGAGGGTGAAGAAGAAAGAAGCTAAGAAGAAATAAACAAAAATTCATTAAAAAGCACAGCTGGAATCTCCAAAGAAAAGGAGAAAGGAAACAGAATCTGATCGTACCAAATACAACCACCAACAGATGACCAGCGATGTTCCAATCTTTGGAGAAGTTAAAGGAAAGTTTGTTTCTGTGGAAGTGAAGGAACAGGGCGTGTCTTTAGGGAGGGGATCTGGTCAACAACAAATCGAAATTGAAGAAGGTACCAGAAAATAAACAAAACTTCAATTTTATTTATGTCAAAGAAATATGAAATCAAGAAAAAGTATTTGGTTCTCTATTAAATAAAGCATGAATCGTAGAACACCTAAATACCTATAACAAAAAAAAATATCCAGCACATCTTGGAACTTAATAGAACACAAGCTAGAACCAAATCATAGTAAAAAAGGGAAAAGATTCAAGAACAACAAAACTTCTACATATAAAATTCGAGGGTTCAATAAACACACCTATAGAGAGAGAAATGAAGAAGAAGAATCTTGAGAAAGAGAAACGAAGAACTCAAAATCAATCTATCAAAAAAAAAAAAAGAGTAGTTCAACACCGCGGAAGATTTCTTTGGGGGATTGAGAAACAAAAGATTTGCGAAGTGCTGCTCTAGTACCCTTAATCGACCTATTCTATAGCCTACGTCCTAAAAGCACATGCGAAAGCACGCAACAGCGGAATCTAACGCATGCTTGAATTAGACAACTAAAGATTCTAAACCATGAACTAAGAGGTAAATCAACCTGTGAAACCAGAAAATAAGAAAATTCAGGAAAATAGAAAAATAAACACCTCAAAGTCGACTGGAGATCAGAACTTCGTCGGAGAAAGCAGTCAGTTCCCGAGCCAAAAGAACGTCGTCACTTCAGAACGGGGCTGAGGGACCTCATACTAAATAAAGATAGATTCGATCTTCAATATGTGATCGGATCGGCTGCCCACTCGCTCCCCATCCGCACCCTACCCCCACCCCATAGCACATCCCCTCCGTGCACTAGGAACATCTCCCGTGCTTGTCATGGGAGATATTACAAATGCACGGAGTGAATGGGCTGTAGGGCGCGCTAACTGGGTAGCCGATCTCGTCATAGCATCGGCTTATGGCCTTCCAAGTTGGGCCCCAGACGGGCTCTATAACTCCCAGCCTCCCGTTTGGTCCACCCACAAGAAGGACGAACCTCATGGGTAGACCGCTAACGGTTCGACATCCGGGTCAATGAAGAGTTTATGACGACAATGGTCTTTTGAGTTTTGACTTCCTTGTCGTCGTATGCCCGCCCGCTAAACCCTAAAATCTTCGTAAGCGGGAATTAACAAGAAGTAAGAGCAGTGAGCAGCTCCCCTTCTTCTCAACTTGTCGGTCGAGGGTTTTTTTGGGTTTTCTTAGCAGAAGTTATGGCGGTGAGTGCTTCAAGGGTTGTTTCTTTCTTTTACATTTTCTTTTATTTTGAATCACGTCGATGACTTCGTATGGAGATTTCCCTGTTTTTGTTGCGTGTTTTGTTAGCAATTTTGTAAAACAATGATACATGAAATCCATTGAGCTCAAAATTTTAATTTGGTAGGTTTGCGCAATATTACCAGGGTTTTCACTTTTCAGTATTTGTTCTCTTTTCTTTTGAGTCCTTTGCTATTTTGCTACGGCGTTGGAAAACATGATGCTTGTGGTTGTATGATTGTATTTTCTGTTTCATTGGTTATCAGCATTAGCTGGAAGCCGCTACAAACCTGCATTATATTCTATTTGCATGTACTGTAGTTTCAACCTCGTAAACATAAAATAGGGATAACAAGAGAGATTTTCTTGAAGCTGCTTTTGCTTGTTCGTAAAATTGACGTAAATTTCTTCAGAGTGAAATGTTTCAGCTATTTTTTCCATACCTTTTATAGGGAAAAACTTTGTTTTCCTTCCCTTCTAACTTGTTTCGATGTAAATGGCAAAGAAATCAAAATTTCATGGTAAAATTACTCAAGTATTTCAACCTGAATTTTTTTTATGTTGAAGCGAACCCACCCTGTTTTTCCAATAATTTTGGGAGGATCTTCTTGATTAGTTATATGAGCCCAATTAATTCCTTAGAAAAAAATGACACTGCTTTTGTCCTTCAAACCATTACTAGAGAATGTTTATTCCCATTCAAAATTATGTGGTGATTTTCAAGTTGGCATTAGAGTGACTGTTGGTACCTTCTCAACTATTTTTATTCCTGCTGCCTGTCAGCCTTACTCCATATGCTTGTTTCTTAATGATTAAGCCTTGGAATAGGTTAACTCCCCCCCCCCACCCTTCACAAAAAAAAGGACCAAAAAAATGAAAACTAGTAGAAGAGAATTCAAGTTTGGTAGACTCTCAAGAAGTTTAATTTGGGATTCATCTATGCGTGGGTATCCTTACTCTTAACCAAGTTTGTTAAGTGGGATTCAGTCAAAATGTTTTTGATACATTATGGGGTAAATCTCTTAAACTACCCCCTACTATTCGAAATTGACTAACTGTACCCTTACTATTTACATATTGTCTTAAAGTACCCTTACTGTTTCTAAAAATTGACATTGCCGTTAAGTGCTAATGGAAAGAAATGAAATGCTGAATTTGCCATCTTGTCACGGGGGTAGTTTTGCAGCGGAAGAAACCCGTGCGGCGTCTAGGCCAAGGCAGGCCAGGACAAGCCTTTTGTGTGCTTAGGGGTAGGAGTTACCCGATGTGATGGCTCCACCAAGTTCAGTAGCACTGTATCATGACCTCAGTTCGCATGGCCGGGGCACTGTGTTGGCTCCTTTAGGTCCATGGGAGGCCACTTGGCGCCGATGAGAGGGACTCTTGTATGCCGATGATGCTAGGCAACCGCTAGGCCGGAACACACCTGTGCGCTATGGGCAACGGGATAACTCATTCAGCTTAGGCAAGGGGCTGGCGTGGTGAAGGTCATGCTTAGGCCAGGCCCGCATGCCAAGCCTCCCTTGAGTGTCGGTGGCGCAGTGCCGGTTCATGCACTGCCCCCATGAGCATGTGTGCATCCATGAGGAACCCTGGTAGCCATGCTAGCCATTAACCAGAGCCACCCTGCAAGGGGTGATGGTCTAAGAGTGCCAAGGTCTGGCACCCAAGGAGGTCGACCACCCCTCTTCAAAGAGTACATTAAGCTTTTGGTGATTTGCCTGAACATAACATCACTTTTCCCAAAAATCTTACAGGCGAAAATGATGATGGTGTCCCTTAACGTAAGCCTGCCAAGCGTAGGCAAGGCTAAGCCTGTGTCAGACCGTGACAATCCACTACTCCTCAAAGTTCAAAATAAAACCCAACCGATGGGCAATCAGCCATGGAAAGATCCTGATGTCCGGAGGCTCAACTTTCCTCGTCGCCAAAACTAATTTCTTCCAATGACAGCAAGAGCAGACCCTTTGGTTCTTCCCCAATTGAAGTTGAAGCGTTCTGTTTGGTTCTGAGACAGTTCTTCCCCAGTTGTAGCAGTTCACCTCCGCAAATCGTTTCAACAATGACACGCCTTCTTCACCTGTGATGCATCTCCTGCATCTTCAACTGCACCAAGTCGAAATCCGCTTCAGCTTCCCTCAATGAATTTACAACACCTTCCTTCTCCCTTTTTATTGCCGTAAGGCTCCCGCTAACCCATTCCGCCCTCTCAAAATCCATAACCTGGTTCCATCTGTCCTGAATGAGGGAATTAAGGCGGGTATAGTCGAACTGAACTGGTTGATTCTAAGGTGGGTGATAAGCAGCTGTATCTGTATCAAGCCTACCATCTCTTCTCACGAAAGTGTTTCCATTCAATATCTATGGCCCAGGTTCTTGGTTCCGTTGGTTGTGAGGCAGGTGATTTTTTCCAATATGCTAGGTAAGAAGCCCGAGCAAGAGTAAACAAAATCCTTCTAGATAAGGTTAAAATTATAACAACAAAAGAAGAAACAACGATTCCTAATATAGCTCCCGCAGAATATGACGACTGCGAATGTGGAAGATGCGGTGTAAAACTTGGAAATTTCGTTGTGTTTATGTCAGGCTAAGAGTCAAATCCTTTATTAGTAGAGCTCCATGCTTAGATCCTCTCGCTTCTCCTGAAGTTTCCTTTGATGAAGAGAACCCAACAAACATCTCATTGGATATGTACCCACATATTTCATTGACATAACAATTGAACAAAGTTCTAGAAGGTTGAGAAACACTTGCAGGAGCAATTGTGACCTTGATCTCGGGACCGGTCCTGTCGAAATCGATCCAAGCACATATGTTTTCACCATTCTGCATATCAATGGGAACGAATTCATCTTTGTCCTTATAGAATCCGACCTTCTGAGTATCGGAAGTGTTCATGCTGTTGAGGTTGACTCCAATGTGGTTGCCATCCAGGGCTATAGGTTGACACCAATACTTCTGAGTATGGAAGTATTGGTGCTAAGTGTTATTGCTGATGTCAGAAAGGTTAGATTTAGAGAGGAAAAAAGCAAGACCTTAACCAGGGCTTGGGCTGACTGGAGGGAGTATGGAGAAAACAAATGAAGTCGAGAAGGATAAGAGATTAGAGTTGTTTTTCATGTGGATTGGAGATAGGAAGAAGGCTTGTTTGATGGAGTACTCATCGGAGGCTTTTGTTAATTTAATGATAGAGGAATTGACTCGGTTGGTTGCTCATCCTTCATCTCTCAATCCGAGGAGGGCAAAAGTTGGACACGTGTTCTATCTCCTCCTCTTGATTTGGCTGGTTGTTCATTGATATCTGGGTAAGCCTAGGCAATCAAAATGTAGAAGCAATCTTCTGTATCTGTTGAAATTCCTGTTGATCGACCTCAGGTAGGGGATAAAAGAGTATAGGTCTGCCACTATTTGACCGTAAGTCATACTCCCTTCTTGAATATCCAGTGAGGCGACCAAGATCATTTGAAAAGGAAGAGGAAAGAATATCAAAAAGGTTTGAAAGGGGAGGTCTGAGAGAGAGAGAGAGAGGTATGAGAATGGAGAGATAGTGGGGGCTCAGGACGAGGGTAATATTGGGTTTTTAAAAAATTTATAGGTCATGTGGGGTCACATGTGCACAAATCGTGACAGAGCATTAACGGATGCTAACAGTGGGGTAGAACTAGTCAATTATCAGAAACAGTAGGGGTAGCGTTAGACAATATGTAAATAGTAAGGGTACAGTTAGTCAATTTCGCAAATAGTAAGGATAGTTTAAGAGATTTACCCTACATTATGTGCTAATTTCATGACGTCACTGAAAAGTTTCTCAACTATATTATGTTATGTCTACTCAAATAAGTTGGTAAAATCAAAGAATTGGAAATGTAAAGATTGCCATATTGCTCAACTGTACAACCATTTCCTAATTCCCACTGCACAGATTAGCTCAGTCTTCCTTTACCAATTATTTATAAGGTTTTCACAGGAAATTATTTTTTCTTTAATAAACCCCTTACAAAAAATAGGAGCCATTGCTTGGTGTGCTGGTAAATCTTGGTTTGAAAAGTAGGGTCAGTATTCAGGCTGAGCCCTTCTGAGTTGAGCTTGGCCAAGTCCATGTCTTGAACTCAAACTTTAGGCTCAGGTCAAGGCCAAATCAGGGTCCAAACTCAGCCCAAGGCACCCAGTCCAAACTTATATGTCAAGCCTTAGGCCAGGCTTGAGCTGGTGCAAACTTAAACTAGAACTTGGAACATTGGTAGTTAGACTTTAGCATGAATGCTAAGATGACATTAACTAGTTGAGGGATGGTAGAACATTAATATTAGGGGTGGGGGGGATTGCATACTCGTAACATTATGTATTTGTGTATATTTTTGCAGATTTGGTTTTTGTTCTGTGCCATGGTTGGCAAAAGCATTGACATATCACTGAAGTTCTTGTGCACTAGCAATGTGTAGGTGTAGAACTTGGTTTCATGCTAATCGCTCTATTATGGGAAAATTTTACAAGAAAATTGTTGTAGTCTCCAACCAAGCATCATGACATGGTTGGTGACTGAGGCCACCAGAGTAGGCTATGGAAATTCTACAATAGCAGAGTTTTATTGGAAATTTTACAGGGAGAAAAATGAGGCTGGTCAACTAAACATTTCATCTCCGACTGTAGATGAAAATTGAATGTTGTAATGGGTTGGAGGAAAAATGATGGCAAGGGAACCTTGCATCACAGAAGTATCATGAGGGAAGTTAAAACTTTAACAAGAGATTTGGGGCTTGATATCACATACTCATGGACTCAGATCAGCAGTAAATGGGAAGGGTTAATAGGAGTTGGATCTTTTGGGGGGTCTTATGATTTTGTACACATAAAGGAAAAGAGGGTTTGTAATTTGTCTACTGTAAATAGTGGGAAAGGTTTAGTGACCCAAGCCCACTGGTTTGCAGCTGCGTCAGTTGTAATATTCAATACACTTCTCGCTTAATGAAATTTCAAGTTACCAATTGCTGATAAAATAAATAAATAAATCAAATTGTAATAAAAAAACATCATGTATGGTTGTTGGCTGTCATTTTTTTGATTGCTTATTGGTTGTTCTTGGCCATCATTTTGTTGATTATAAATCCTAGAATTTGCAAACAAGTTCCTACAGTCACAACAAGGTCTTCAAGAATTTTGCCACAAACTTGATGTGCTTATAAAATATTTTGAAGGCCATGCAATTACTCCATTTTCTTGGAGCACACAACTATTTCTAGTTTGTATCAATGTGTCATATAATAGAACGATCTATGGCCTATGGATTAGAATCATCACCTCTGCAACCAATGGAAGACTAAAAATAATACCTACTCTAAAAAGTTTATACCATTTAAATGCAAATATTCAATTTTTTTCTTACGATCTTCATCTGGTTTAAGACACTTTTCATGGTCATGCTCATGCACCATTTAATTTATGCATGTATATAATTGAACTTCAACTTTACAAACTTTAATACTTTTGCATCTTATTGGAAAATGTTGTTTGATATTGCAGACTGTTCCAGTTAACCCCAAACCATTCTTGAACAATCTGACTGGAAAACCTGTAATTGTAAAGCTTAAATGGGGAATGGAATACAAAGGTACTTTCTTCTTGGTGCAATATATTATAATCTGTTACATGAGATGTATTTATGTTTGTTTTGTCCTTTTTTCCTTCTCAGGGTATCTTGTTTCAGTTGATGCCTACATGAACTTGCAGGTATTGCTTAAGTTCCTTAAGTTCATTCAATAAATTAATACTCACATACGTATTTCTAGGTTGTTGCTATAAACCTAGCTTCAGCTAATAGAATGATCAACTCAGTCGGTGTTGTCAGATATGGATCAGATCAGATTAGATGATTGGATCATTCAGACTAGGAGCTGAATCAGATTCTTGTCTCTTGGAATCAATAAAAATAGCCACTAACCAAGACTAGCATTAACATATTAAAATTGTATAGTGATTAGGGCAGATTTGGCCCTCCGCTGACCTAGCAACTCGTGTGACACCTCAACGCCACACGAACAGCTCCGGATCCCACTAAGTCAAGGAGGCACACCTCGGAACCAGTTTGAGCACCTCGTACACAACTTGGGCACCTCGGCAGGGCGGCTAGCAGCACCTTGTCCAGGGCCGACCTGTGGTACCTCGTCGTTATTGGTCCAATGGACCTCAACGTGAGGAGCGACCTCCTCGAGGACTTGTTGACCTGTGGTACCTCGTCAGTACCGGTCGAAGTGACCTCGGTGTGAGGAGCGACCTCCCTCTAGGACTTGCCAACCTAACTTAGGTCCAGATGGCAACTTGTGGGATGTGCTCGCCGACCTCCTCTACATGCATCATGTCACTCCCGGGCCTCTCGGAAGTTGGCTCCCACACTAAATGTTTCGGAAGAAACCAAATAAGGCACAAAGCCTGGTCTACGTGCGTGAATACCTCCGAGGACTTCGAACCGGTCAGGCATGTCTTCCCGGAGATCTTGGATGCAGTGCGTGAAGTCCACGCCAAACAATGCCTATATAAAGGTTTCATCTCCTCCCTGAGAGAAAACGTATGCGCGGTTTAGCTCTCAAATACTAGCAATCTTGCTTTTAGCTCTCTCTAAAATCTCCAATTCGTTAACTTAAGCATTTTAGTGCCCACACTGGGTAAAGCACCCCAGACACTGGCATATCTTCTTGCAGATCAACCAGGCGACATCACTAGCTCGACATCCAAGTCGTCCTCCAACAGGGATAATTAGATCATACATCATCAATCGGCGCCATCTGTGGGAACCGCTACACAAAAGCTAAGTTTTCACCCGTTCTCTAAGCCTCAAATAATTGCATCCTCAAGCAACAACAACTCTTGGATCGAAGGAACCCCCCAGAGGGGCAGAATTAGAATGATCGATCCATACAAGTTCCAGCAGCCTTGCCCAGAAAAAATCTCCCAGCCCTGACTGTGAAACCACTCTTGCATGTTGAGCCCTACATGCTCTCTGCGAGAGTTGACGACCAACAGACTTTGAGGCCACCCCTGTAGGTCGAGCCCTCTATGGTTCCCGTGGGAGTTGATGGCCAATAGACTGTGATTGTGGCCGCCCCGTAGCTACAGGTCGAGCCCTCAATGGTTCCCGTGGGAATTGATGGCCAATAGACTGTGGAGCCATCCTTGTAGATCAGCACTGCAAAGGTGACAAGGTGTATGTAGGCCGAGGTGTTGAGAGCGAACTGGCATGTTAAAATTTTGGCGATCTGATTGAGACTTGCTTTGGCGACCTAGATGAGTTGACTCACGACACGTAATTAGCCTGGACAAGACTTTTCAGCTTTGTTTGCGAGTAGACCTGTTCATGGGCCGGGCCGGGCTGGGCTTTCACTTGTCATTAAGGGAAATATGCTAGGCACGATCCCGAGCTCGAGCCCGAAGCCCGACCTAATAAAAAAAAACAATTTTCCCTATTCAAACTAGAATTAAAAATTCAGATAGTTTTTTTTTTCTCTTATTTAAATGAACAATGGGCCTACAAGATGGTTTTTTCCCCTTTCTTTTATATTTTAAAACACAGTTTTACATTCTTAAATTAAAAAAAGTATTCAAATGGACATAATCACATTACTCACTTTAAGTCTAATATTAGGTCGGGTTGGGCTATTTTGACAAAACTCGAGCCCAACTCGAATTTATTGCGGGTCGGGCTTTTTGGCCCGAATTTAAGCCCGTGGGCCTATAACCACGTTCAAGCCCATCCGAGAGCCGGGCCGGCCCGTCGGGCCACCCGGCCCATGAACAAGTCTATTTGCGAGGTCACCCCTACAGGTTGAGCCCATCATGTCTCCCGCGGGAGTTGGCAACCAATGGACTGCAATCGCCCTTGCGGGTCAAGCCTTTCAAGGTTCCTGTGCGAGTTGGCGACCTGCAGTTAGTAGAGCTGCTCCCGCAGGTTGAGCTCCCTATAGCTTATCATAGTAGACGACTAGCATGTTCAAGGACTAACGCAGTACAGCCGTGGCATCGACTCGCCATTCAAATGCCAATAGCGTCGCACGTATCAACGACACTATCACAAGGGGGCATAAACTAAACGACTAGCCTGGGCGAGCTTCAACGGTCTGGCTTAGATTGTCTCCCAGCCCGACTGCAAAGCCTCACTTTTGATCGAGCCCTCCATGGTTCTCATGAGAGTGGGCAGCGAGCTGAATGTGGAACCGGCCTCGAAGATCGAACCTTTCATGGTTCCCATGAGGGTAGGCGACCCGTAGACAGTTGAGTGATCCCCACAAGGTGAGCCCCCATGGCTCTCGGAGTGGACGACCAGTAGTTCTAGGAGTAGCAAATGAGTGCCATTGACTTGTGAATGCAAACCCAAGAGAGTCAATCCTATGTGATGACATAGATGCAGTCACGTTTAAAGCTACTATAGAATGACCATCCGTTTTAGTGACTTGGTTAAACTGAATTCTAAGGGGAAGCCAAAATTGCTTTCAACATCAAGGCTCCTAAGCTGATCTTGAAACGCGTTGGCAACAAATAGTCTGCCCTATGCAGGTCTGCCCCCATCTATCTAGCTCGGCATCGTTTTGACAGTCAAAATTATAACTGCTTTGGTGACCTGGACGAGCCAACTCGCAATATGTGCACGTCGATGAAAATCTACTAAGGGGAAGCCAAACCACTTTTAGCTAAGGCAGGCCCCCTACGCCGACTTTGGGATATATCGGTAGTTCGACATCTCGACATCGTTTTGACGGCCAAAATTATGAGTAACCACTTTGGCAACCTGACCCAATTGAATTCTAAGGGGAAGTCAAATCGCTTTCAGCATTGAGGCCCCCTAGGTTGACATCTAAACATGTCGACAACAAGTAGGTCGACCTATGCAAGTCGGCCCTCATCTATCTAGCTTGGTAGTGTTTTTGACTTTACCGCTACTACACTACATCGATCTCAAAGGACGAAGGTGTCTCACTGCTGACCTGATAAAAAAACAAAGAAAGAAAAGAAGCAGAGGAAATGAGGACTTCAGAGAGGATTTCATACAACTAGCGAAATAGAGAGCAGGTCACCTCGGGCCTTATCTTCAAACAAGCTACACCCTTTGCCGAATTGACCTTGACTCGAGTGTGGGGGGCAATTGATGAGGGCAGATTTGGCCCTCTGTTGACTTAGCAACACATGGCACGACAAGACAGCTGCATGACACCTCAACACTACACAAACAAGTGTGGATCCCACTAAGTCAAGGAGGCACACCTCGGAACTAGTCGGAGCACCTCGTACACAACTCAGGCATCTCGTCCAGGGTGGACCTGTAGTACCTTGTTGTTTCCGGCCCAATGGACCTCAGCGTGAGGAGCGACCTACTCGAGGACTTGCTGACCTGTGGTACCGCGTCAGTACCGATCGAGGTGACCTCGGTGTGAGGAGCGACCTCCCTTGAGGACTTACTGACCTGACTGGGTCCAGGTGGCGACCTACGAGACGTGCTCGTCGACCACTGCATGCATCATGTCACTCCCAGGTCTCTCGGAAGTTGGCTCTCGAACCGAATGTTTCAGAGGAAACCGAATAAGCCTCAAAGCGTGGTCTATGTGCACGACTACCTCCGAGGACTTCGGATCGGTCGGGCACGTCTTCCTGGAGATCTCGGATGCGGTGCATGAAGCACACACCAAACTGCCTATATAAATGTCTCATCTCCTCCATGAGAGAAAAGGTACGCACGATTTAGTTCTCAAATACTAGCAATCTTGATTTCAGCTCTCTCTAAAACCTCCAATTCGCTAACCTAAGCATCGGAGTGCCCACACCAGGTAAAGCACCCCAGACATTCTGACCTGTCTCCTTGCAGCTTGACCAGGCGACCTCACTAGCTTGATGTCCGATCTGTCCTCCAGCAGGGAGCACCAGATTGTGCATCATCATATAGCATCTTAGATGATTGGGTCAATCCACCCAGTGGTTGGACCGTTTGACCCTTGACCAATAATTTTTGTGGTGTTTAAGTGATCCAGGTCTGACAACACTGAATTCTGTTACTGGCTATAGTTCAAACATCAATTTTCCTTTCTGCAGCTGGCCAACACTGAAGAATATATTGATGGACAATTCACAGGAAATCTTGGAGAGATTCTCATCAGGTAATAACTACCAAAATTATAGTTCTGTAGTGTGTCTCGACTGAACCGTATGAAGATGAAATATTTCCTGAATTAGTAAATGTCACTGCTGAATGATTAACATGATGTGGTGTTAAGCACCGGAAATGATATCCCTGCCTTCACCTCCCGCCCTAGACGAGATTATTTGCATAAATAGGCATGCCAATAAGTAGGCTGTCTCCATTTATGAGTGTCGGTCACATCTTTAACCATTCTTTTAGTTTTGCCCCCCTCCCGGAAAAAAAGGCCTCAGGCATCAGCTTCAAATGGATCAGGGTTGGTGATTAAAACTTAAAATGCTGTGGCCATGGATAGCAACTGCTTCATAGCCACTCCATGTGGTAGATTACCAATTGGAAACGGTATAGGTATCAATTCAGTCAGCCATGTGGGTTCATGTACGACACAAAATTTTGTTGGCTAGCACTGCTAGGTATTTGTTTTCTAGAGAGACACCGTGGTATAATTTTTGATCTGTTGATGAGTTATAACCCTTTTTCTTTGTTTGTATTGCATCAGATGTAATAATGTTCTCTATCTTCGAGGTGTACCGGAGGATGAAGAAATTGAAGATGCTGAACGAGATTAGGAGTAGCATAATAGCTTCTTCAATGGCGTCCGGATCCTGCTTGAAGATCATGATATATTTCTTAGTACTAGTCAGATGATGAGATCCTACTATTATCTAATTAAACTGACGTTCAGCTTTGAAAATGAGAAGTGTAAAGCGCTTTTTATCAGTAAAAATGGAATATCATGATTTACTAATGTTCTCAATTGTTTTTTTTGGGAGGCCTAGATGTACTCTTAGTAAAATCAATTCACTAATGTCGTAATGAGTCGTTAGGTTAAGGTTTCAAAGAAGTTACTTTCAATTCATTTGGTTCATGTTATACAATATCAAAGGTATTTTTGGTTCATTTTATTTATTTTGATCATTTTTAGTTTAATTTATTGATCTTTTATAGATTCTATTGTAAATTGATTTTGGCACATCTAAGTCAGTATTTTCAACCCATCGTCCAGCCAGTTGAACTGCTCTAATTGCCATTTGGCCATGGTTTTGGGTCTGTTTCTCCAAAAACCTAATCTTTGATAAAAAATGGTTGATTTGGTCAAAAATCATCTTACTTGGGTGGTTGAATTGTTGACCTATTCAATACAAAATTTTAAAGGTCATAACTTTGTGCTCAGATTACCAATTGGGGTGATTTTTTTTTTTTAATTTTAAGTAACTTTTTCGAGAGCTATGCATTTCAAGAAGCCAAAGGTATCTTGTCCTGCTATTTTTTCCCAAAAATTCATTTTTAGCCTCAAATTGTAAAAAAATAGAATTATAAATTAAATATAAAATAATATTTATATATGCATTTATTACATCTAAAAATAATTTTACATTATGTGTGTGTGAGTGAGACCCATTTAAACTGAATAGTTGAACTTGAACCGATAATCCAGAGGCAAAAATGATCCAGCCTCCAGGTCTGTTTTTAAAACATTGATCCAAATCACATGGCTGAGAATGTCGTCAAAGATAAATGGTGCAAAACAGTCCCGGCATGCAACTAAAATTTGTTAGTGAAAATGGTCAGAAACAGGATGGTTTGCGCCTAACTTCTTTTAACTTTCAAGTTCAAGAAACCAAACACAAGGCGCCCCAAGTCCGAAGATGGGAAGAACAAAGAAGGACCGGTTACACAGCCACACAGGGCATAACGCACTTATGGAAACTGATATGCTGATGTCATGGTTCTAATTTATGAACAGTTACAATCAAAATCCGGGGGACTTTGTTTGCACCGTACATATTTGCATTTGTACTCTCCAAACTGAGCCATTTCTAATTTGGTAAAGAGAACTTCATTACGCAAGCAAATTAATAAAGCTATATACATCCATAGTACCAGGTTATTTTGAGTCTTCACACTTCTGGTCCTGAGAATCTTATCTTGGTTCCCTATATATGACAAATTCAACGATATAACCCAAAATTAAAAGTCACATTGTCATAAGCTTCTGGACCTTAAATGAGTTTAGGCCTTATACCAGGGTATATATAGCCTTCACCAATCAGAAAAGGCTTCAGACAAATATATGCAAAATTCAGGAGACAGCGCCAGATATACAATCTGGAAGGTGATCTATCGTTCAGTTAACATCATTAACTACTTTGTTGAGTTCCCAAATACCTGCAATGAATGGAATGTATCATCTTGTTACTATCACCAAAATCCAGTTAAAAAAACAGCAAACTTTCAATGAACATGCTCAATAATAATTAAAAAAAGCAACAAGTACCATGCTACTTTCATTCAAATCGGCAATCATGGATTAAGACTCCATAAAGATCTGCAAAAGAACGCCTTCCATGATATTGGTAGTTCTGTTAATTACTATCAGAATATACTATTAGCAGTTCAGTTATTTGCCAGAGGCCAGATTATATGGTTCACTTGTTGTGTCACCAGTGCTTGTATCATGGCATGATTTTCCATAACAATATTAATATTTGAACATCAGATTGGGTGGAGAATCATTCATGCATATGAGAAAGGAGTCCCAAGTAAGCAACCTCACCTCAAGAAATCACTATTTTATATTTTAGCAAGGACTCTTAATACCATGGAACGCATACAATTTTTTCCCCTTAACTTGACATTTGGATGGAAAGTTCACTAACCAATACTAGTAAATTCAGTACTCACATAAAACTGCAGAGAACTGATGCAGTAGAAGATGACCTTGCACTGTAACAAACAGTAAGATTGCAGAGTAGACCCTAAAAATCTACTGACCAAAGTTCCTCTGCAACCAAAGTAGAGGCTTCCAAAAACAAAAGAGATGGACACTAAAGTTCTTTGAGAAGATTTTCCAGAAAAGACATTGGGAATGGGAATTATTTTGGTAACCTTATCAAATAGGAGGACCCTCGTACTATTTTATCTACACAATAATAGCCTTTTTTTATGGGAAACAGTAACTTTCATTAGAGAAATGAAAAGATTACAGACTTACCACCTAAACAATGGATGGAAAAAGACAAAACTTACAAACAAAGCCTCCCTAGTAACTCCTTGCTTAGCTAAAGTGTCAGCCATTCCATTTGCTGACCTTCTTACCCATTTATAATGCACCCCAATCTCCCTTGCTAAGCTAATAATCTCTCTTAGAGGCTGTCTAAGAGACCAAACTCCCAAGTTTCCAGATTGCATCCACCCTATTACCAGCTTGGAGTCTCCTTCCACTTCTAATTGCTGCATTCCCCATTGTTTCGCCAGTCTCAAACCTTGAAGTAAGGCCATTATTTCTGCCCTTAATGAATCTCCCACCCCAATTGGGCCCGAGTAAAGGGCCAAGACTTTACATTCCTCATTTCTGAATACACCCCCAACTCCCGACTGACTTGGATTACCCAAGGAGCTTCCATCAAAGTTTAGCTTCACCCTGAACTGAGGCGGTGGTACCCAACTTTCTTGTACCACAGGGGAGGAAGGGGATGATACAGCTATAGCACTCCAATTTCTAATTAAGTCAGCTGAGGAGAAGTCCTTGAAGAGATGATGTACTTTCAGCCAATGCATAACCTTGATGGTGACAACCTCAACAAGTGCTTCCTTAGATTTTCCTTGCCCTAGGAAAATCCTATTGTTTCTCTCTTCCCAAATTGGCCATAGGATGGCTGCTCTTGTTATTCTCCACAATACCCTGCTTCTTTTCCTTGGTTGTCAGAAGAAACTAGAGTAAAAAAGGTTCAGCACACCCAAGGGGGGATTCCATCTACAACCAAACAAAGAAGAGAACCAATCCCACAAATAAGAAGCAAAAGGACAAGAAATCAAAAGATGAGTCGCCATCTCACCATTTCTTAAGCAAAGGTAATAGTCATGTGGAGAAAGGCACTAGTCTGGCCTTTTTCTTTGAAGTACATCTATAGTATTGATCTTTTGAAAAGCCACTTCCCAGAAAAAAAAAACCCTACTCTTTGGCGGCACAGGAGAATGCCAAACTTCTTTAGCAGGAAAAGAGACATATACAATAGAAGACTGAGCTAAGGCGTTGAAAAAGGATGAACAAGAGAAAGTCCCTGAAGAAGACTCTTTCCAAATTCTACTATTTGGGCAGGAAAAATCGAACTCAACACAGTGAACAACTCATTTGCAGAAGCCAATTCTGAATCCCTCAACCCTCTTCTCAAACCCAAATCCCAAGTCCCCTTAGACACACCAAGTGAGGAGATGGTGTTGAATTTATTTAGGGAAAGAGAATACATTACCGGGAATCTATCCTTAAGGGGGTGTTCCCAAACCAAAGGTCCTTCCAAAACAGAATTTTATTACCTGAGCGCACATCAAATTTGATGAAAGGCTGAAAGAAAGGCAATACTCCAATAATTTCTTTCCAAGGGGAGAAATGAGAAGCCCTAGGGTTGATGCCAACATCTCATCCATTAGCTGCCATCCTGTGAAAACTTTCCACCACCAAGTGCTACAAACTGTCCTGCTCCAAAGGAAATCTCCACAACCACTTTTCTAACAAAGCTATATTTCTTAATCTGATATTGCCAATGCCTAGACCCCCCCGCTTCCTTTATTCTAGAAACTACTTCCCACTTTACTAAATGGTCCTTTTTTGAGTCACCCGGTTCCCACAGAAAGTCTTTCATTAGCTTTTCTAACTTATTGGCAACCTTGGTAGGAAGCTTAAAGGTAGACAGAAAATACACTGGAAGGTTGGCTAGAGTGGACTTGATTAAAGTGATTCTACCCCCTAGTGAGATATAATTTCTCTTCCACCCTGCTAGCTTCTTAGTGAATCTTTCCAAAATTGGGTACCAAAAACTTTTTGTCTAGGATTTCCCCCCCAGGGGCAAACCTAAATATACCAGAGGCCAACCACTTACCTCACAACCTAAATCCCTAGCCACCAAATGCACCCGTAACTTCACCCCCGCTACACAACTCTTGTTCCAAATGATCTTTAGATTGGAGACTCTCTCAAAATGCATCACCACCAATCTCAAATTATCCATCTCCTCAATTTCCCCTTCCAAATGATATCATCCGCAAATTGTAGGTGAGTGACAATCACTTGTTGCCTCCCAACTCTCCAACCTTGTATATTTCTTGAATCAGCCCTAGAATTAGGACATCCACCACTAAGGTGAACTATGAAGAGGAAAGGTGACAAAGGGTCTCCTTGTCTAAGGCCCCTCTTTGCAGGAAAGAAGTCCCTAGCTACTCCATTCACTAAGATTGAGAAGTGACAAGAGGTAATACGACCCTTCATCCACTTACACCATCTCTCCCCAAAGCCTCTATTCCTCAACACTTCTAGCAAGAAATCTCAATCCACCAAATCATAAGCCTTTTCTAGGTCAAGTTTACAGATCATACCCTTTTCTCCTTTTCTTTCTTTGTAATTCACACACTTATTGGCTATTAAAATCTGATTGATAATTTGTCTCCCTTTCACAAAGGCCCCTTGATTCAGTGAGATTAAGGAAGGGAGGACTTTCTTGAGTCTTAGTGCAAGAACTTTAGAAATTATCTTATACAGACTCCCAATCAGATCGATAGGTCTTAAAGTCCTTGGGCTGAACTGTAGGAACTTTCTTAGGGATCAAAGCTATGAAAGTAGCATTTGCACCCGTGTTTATTTTTCCTCTTTCAAAGAATTCCAAGAAAACCTCCACTAGGTCATCACCTAAGAAATCCCAACAGTCTTGATAAGAAGCCATAGTGAATCCATCCGGGCCCAGGGCTTTTGATCTTTCCATAGAGAAAACTACCTCCTTTATTTCTTGAACCTCAAATGGTCTTTCCAGGGGTTCCAACAATTCCCTTTCTCCAACATGCCACTCAAAGTCGGTTAGAGTCTCTCTTACTCTACTGAGGCTGTCATAAATGGATTTAAAACAAAAGCTTTTGCAATCTCTTCCTCTCTTATTAGCACTGCCCCATTCCATTCCAAACTTTCAACTATGTTCTTCCTCCTTTTTCCACTTACCAAACTATGGAAAAATCTTGTATTACCATCTCCTTCCTTCAACCACTTGCATCTTGATTTTTGTACACAATAATAGCTTTCAGTTAATACTCTACTGTTTTTTTTTTTAAGACTTAAGAAAAATGTTCTTGTACATCTTGTACATGCTATTCTAGCATGTCCTACAAGGATTTTCAGTCCTATACTTTGCATGAGACCAAACCAGACTATTGACAAAATATAGTACCTATATGCACTTAATTAAGAATCAATATTTCTCAAGCTGAAATGAATGAACTCGGTCTTATTTTGGGATGCAGGATAGAGACTTGTCCTAACAAAATATTTAGGATGCCACTAGGGGGAATCCTAATGCCAGCAACTTTTAGGATCCAGTTGTTGAAAATTGAGAGAAGAGACTTGACTCTTGGAAAAGAAACTACCTTTCTAAAGGCAGCAGACTTACCCTCATCAAAGCAACTTTTTCAAGCCTCCCTTCATAATACTTCTCTATTTTTAGGGCTCCTGCAAGGGTAAGAAATCCTATTGAAAAACTTCAGAGAGATTTTCTTTGAGAAGGTGGTGATGAAAGAAGGGATCACTTGATACACTAGAAGAAGGTTTGTAGGCCAAGGGAGAGAGGCTTGGGGCTGGGGTGTTTGTCTGAAAGGAATATAGCATTCTCTGGGTTTCAGTATCAAAAGCAAAAATAGGAAGAACAAGAATGGTTGGGACTGCAACCTCCTCCTCAACAGGTTCTCATCTAACCCTTGGAAAGATAACTCAACTCTCTGTTTTCATTAGCCCTTTCTTGAGAATCTGAGATATAGCCTTGGCAATGGTCATCAGATTAAGTTTTGGAATGACCTTCAGTTAGGCCCACAACCCCTTTTTATCACCTATCCTAACCTCTTCCAGATAATAATGGATAAAGGGAGCTTGGTCTCCTCAGTAGTCCTTAGAAGATACCATGGTATCTCTTACAACTTCAGTTTCTGAAGAGCCTTGGCCCTTGACAACTTGACTGATTCCAAATCCCTTGATATTTCCTCCTTGCTCTCTTCTCTCTCTAATATCTTTGTAGCCCCTTCTATTCCTGACAAACACATCTACTCTCCCTCCACCTGTGGCACCTTTCCTGTAAAATCCTATTTTCAGAGACTAGTGGAGGATTCCTCATTCTCCTCTTTCCCTAACAAAAGGACTTGGCTCTGTGTGGTTCCTCCTAGAGTGTCTTTTTTCAACTGGGAGGCACCAAGGTGGCTTGTGAAGGTATAAATACTTATGACAAAAACCTTAGGATGTGAAAAGGGTAACTCTATATCTCTTCCCATGTCTGTATTATGTGTATGAAAGATGGGGAACCCATTGGCCATCTTCTCATCAACTGTGAGGTTCCTCATAGATTGTAGCACTTCTTTCTTGATCTCACTAGATATAACAGGTTCAATTGCCTCCCCTCCCCCATGGAACTTAGTGGAAGAGTTATCAAGCAAAAGGAATGAATGCAAGTTGGGTTTCAGGGGCAATTTCTATTGAAAGCCCATCATCCATGCAGTACGTGTATCTGGGAAGAAAGCAACAAAAGAATTTTTGAAAACTTAAGGACCTCTCTTGAAGGCCTAAAAGGAAGGATCTTGGTGATGATCACCTCTTGGACATCAGCAAGTAAGTATGAAAATTCTGAGATCTTCTCCAGTTCTCCCAGTCAGGTTGATTTCTCCTCCCCATAAATCTCATTCTGAGTTCATTCTTCAAATTGAAGACAATTGCAGAAGCAGTGAGGGCCATTAGAGAAGGGGAGGTATTAGAGGGCTTATTCTCAGATCTCACGGTGACGTGGTCTGGGCTTTTAGTGAGCCTCTAGGGGAGGTTGATGCTGCAGAAGCTGAAAATGAGAACTCTTATAGTGGGTCTCAGATTTGCAGCTCTCCACAACATCTCCTCAACCATGGTGGAACAGGATTCTAGATCTGTAATAAGCTGGATGAGTGGTGAGGAGGGAGGCCTGCAGAGATTTGACTTCTTCCTCAACGAAATCAAGGAAATCACAGCTTCTTTGAATTGCATTTTCAGAAGGATTCCTAGGGATCTCAGTTGTAACTGATGGCTTAGCCAAATCTGGGATTGAATAGGGTCTTTTTGTATAGCAGGAATGCTTTACTTTTGTAAACGGTGGGAGGATGTTTTCTTTTTTTTTTTTGTTTGGCCTGTACAACCTCCTTTTTCCTTTTGTTCTGTTTTGAAATGAAATTACTTTTTTCCCAAAAAAATCTAATTATATTGAATATTTATAGAAATCATTTAAAATCTTGGCCTAAAGATGATTTGAAACATCAATAAACTTCAAAACCAATTAGCAGCAGCCTAATGGAAATAAAACTAAAAACAATACCCTATACCTCCTCTCATGTGCCATAGTAAACATGTTATCATTTTCGTTCTCTATGGAAAACTGAATTTCAACATACTTGACGGTATTAAGTGTGAAATACTTGCTAATTAGTTATTAGATTGCTTTGATGTGTCATGTAGGTGGCTATCCAACCATGCAACTGAAGTCCTGTTCCAGTGTTGAACAGTTCTCCATACAAATACTTAACTTGGGAAAAAGAAAAGATGATGATATTAAACCGATTTGGAATTAAATACCATTTAAACCTACAATTCGAGACTAATTTTTTGCAGTCTGTTTATGGTTCTATGAAGTATGAACTAGGTAAGAGAACTTGGATTCATTAATTTCCATTTCGAAGTGCAAAATATCACAATTCCCCATGCTGATTAGTGCATACAAAAAATTCAAAAGATTCCCTATCCTTAGATTAAACATGTTAGAACAACAGTAAAAAAAAGACAATACAAAGAAAATTCGAAGTTCGAACTCGTGGAATTTGTATTATTGTGTGTGTGTGTGTGTGTAAAGTCATTAGTAAACATTTACTGAAACTAGCACTCCCCTTATAGACATTGATAGCCAGATAATACCAAGTAACACGAGAAAATCTAATGACATATATGAATCCCAATCCCAGCAAACCAACTTTATATAAATAGAGAAGATACCGAGTGAGAAAAAAGAGCGATAGAAGAAGAGAAAGAGGATACCAATCCACCGGCTCCATGCATCTCATGGTTGGATAACAAACACGACATGGGGAACCTTCTTATCATCAAATGGCAAGCTTACGTACTCTTGCGCAAACTCCTCTGCAATCTCCCCTGCAAGCTCTCCATGTAACGCCTTACAGTGCATATACAACACAGTGCTCGCTGATATGCTATGAAGCAGAATTAACATAATAAATGCCGAACCAACAACAGTCCCCACTACAGACATCCAATCCTTCAAATCACCCACATTCATCGGTTCCCAGTTGCCCCACAACATCAACCCAGAAATTAAACCAAAAAATAGCAACAGATAAGCTGCAACACCTCTCATCCCCTTTATCAGGTACGAACTCCGCCTCAAAGGCTCCACTCCCCAACTCGACTCCACCACCACGACCACACAAGCTAAAGCCCAATTCACCTGTAAATACACGGCCACTAAAACTAAAACCACCAAGCCAATCGTGTAAACAACTGTAACGCAAGTCGAAGATTGCGAGACATCGAATCCTAGAAATCCAATCCCCTTAATCAGAAAAAACATGACGAGGCCCAGAACAACAGCTATTGACAAGACGATAACTTGAGCGAAGAGAATCGTTACAAACAGGCGAATGAAAGAATTCGACAGTGATTTGATCGCAGATATCAGTTTCACTGGTCGCCCAAAGAATCCGTGGAACACGCTGTACGTGACAGTTCCTGTCGCGCAGAGAGAGAGGATGAAGGTTCCGAAGGTGAAAAGGAGACACAGAACGACGGTTTTTATGAGGAATCGCTGTTCCGGAGTGTAACGGAGGAGGGTTTCGGTTGGGCTCGTATCGGGCGCGGTGACGGTCTGTTGGAACGTCGGGTAGAAGATGAGAGAGAAGGAGAGAGGGAGAAGGAATAGCACCGAGAGGGCCAGGAAATGGCGGGAATGAGCGTTCACGATCTTATTTGATTCCGACAACACGCCGCAGAAATCAACCATCAGTGTCGCCATCACCGATAACGAATCGATGCCGGAGGAAGAAAACCAAAGAGAAGAATCACAGTTCACAAGGAAAAGAGGAAGAAGAAACTTGCAGTGATGCAGAGAGGTGAAAGAGAAAACGTCCGGGAAGGAAAGGTTGACTGGACGATACTATGTTTCTTAGCCTACCTGAATAAATAGTCCTTACTAGTTATACACCATTAGATTTTTCACAATATTTAACAGAACAATCTCTATGGGGATCTAACGATGTGATTCTTCAACATTCTCGTGGAATAACAGTTTCTGGGAAGCGCCGGGGCGCACAACGCATTCTCACCGGATAAACGAAAGCAGTCTAATTCAAGATGGGCCCACGGTAATACCATCGAAGGCTTTGATTTCGTCACTCCGCAGTGGTTTTGGGCAATCCATGTGAACGCTCATAGGCACAGATGACAGATCGGACGGTTAAGGATCAATTCCTTGATTCCTTGTTATTCACACTTGTAACCGTCAAGTATAACGGAACTTTGGAAAACGAAGCCCGTTTCCGACAGAAGCTCCGTTACGTATAAAATTAACCATTCAAAGAGAAGAAGCCCCACCAACGCCGAACGACCAAAGTCGTCAGTCCATCCCGTCAGAGCTGGATTGATTGCAGAGCGAAGATTCGGTGTATTCTCAGTTCTCCCTCTCATTGTTTATAGTTGCGACTCCGGACGGATTTCCGCCATGGAAGGTCTCTTCAATACGTCCGAGTCCCTGCGAGTGAACTGATACACGTGAATACGACTGAAAACCGGCCATGGCGTCGCTCTCCCGCTCTTTTTCCACTACTTCCGAAATCTGAAATCGTGTGTTCTGCATTGCAGCCACGCCGTTAATAAGGTCGAGTTCACTTCTACGGCCACCGAATGCATCGATTTCGTGAAATGATCAGGTTCTTCACTTTTCCAGATCTAGATCTCGCATGCTCGTTTGCCTTTGTTAGTGTTAAAGACTATGTAGATCAAACCATTTTTCCCCTTGATTTACAGAGGAAACTGTAGAATTTGGATTCGTATACGTTCTACTGTTGGGATACTTTGTCTTGTTGGCCTTGTTTGTAGTTCTTTTCGTGCTACAGTCAAGGATTTTTAATGGAGAAAAGCTCATTCATTTTTTGTTCTTGTTTGCTGAAATTCAGTTCCGAACTCAAAGAGTAAAGATGGTTATACTTGAATTTCGGAATGGAAATTCGTTGTTGCGAGTCCGATAGACTATTTGGTCTCCTATTACCGTTTTAATCATATAACTAGAACTATTGAATTTCTGAAGATATTGATGAAGATGGAGGTCTCTTGTGAGCATTCTTGTAAAATTGATTCAGAGTTGTTGAATGATGGAAGCTCTGAAGTATCACATTTGCAGAGCATTGAGCTGGAATCAACGGATACTGGTATCCGTAGGAGCCTTGGCTCAGATCAACAGTTTCATTCCATGGGTGCACTGGAGATCTTGAGGGAAACTGTTAGGATCCTTCGTTACAATTCCCCAGGTTTCATGATGATTGCAGCAGTGCTCATTTGCCCCGTCTCTGCTGTAGTCCTCTCTAATGTTTTAGTTGATCATTCTATTTTAAAGAGACTGAGTACTAGACTTTTGTTAGTTGCGAAGTCAAGTGGACTGCCGTTGGACCCCTCTATTAAACAGTCATGCCAACGTTTATCAAATATGGCTCTCTCTGCCGCTTTCTGCTTCCCTTTCTACATCACGCTCTTGCTATTATCCAAATCTGCCATTGTGTACTCTGTAGATTGCACATACTCCAGAAAGAAATTCAATATATCCAAGTTCTTTGCATTCATTGTCAAGATCTGGAAACGTCCGGTTTCAACATATGTATGGGCATGCATGGTTATTGTGGGTTGTCTAGCCCTGTTTCTTCTTCTTATGGTTGCTATTTGCAACATGTTCTTTATGGCAGGTTTTCCATCTACCTTACTTATCTATCCAGCTATTATGGTGGGATTAGTATTCTCCATTCTTTTTGCCAATGCTATTATCATCTGCAATCTTGCAATCGTAATTTCTGTTTTGGAGGATGTGTCAGGCCCACAGGCTTTGCTTAGATCAAGTGTCCTAATTCAGGGCCAGACCCAAGTCGGTCTTATGATCTTTCTTGGATCAACAATGGGAATGGCCTTTGTGGAGGGGTTGTATGAGCATCGAGTGAAGACCCTAAGTTATGGAGATGGATCTTCCAGGATATGGGAAGGTCCTCTTCTGGTGATTATGTATTCATTTGTGGTGCTTATGGATTCTATGATGAATGCAGTGTTCTACTTCACTTGTAGATCTTCTAGTATTGAAGCCTTGGAGGGAGAGCATCACACCCCATTGGAAGTTATGGATGTTCCCTCTGGATCAGCTGATATTCAATGACAGATCCATACACAATTAATTCTATCTCAACCTCTTTTTTCTTAATGAGAAAGGTGGATTTTTGACTATTAGTCATCAGAGGCTCTTAGATTATCATTCAATTACTCGTTGGCATGTATTTTTAATGCTGTTGCTTCAGTTTTCTGAAAACAGAAACATCCAAAGGCCTTATTACTGCAATGGTGTTGATCATATGGAAGGAATTTTGGACACAATTAATATCACTTTTTTGTATACAATGTATTTCTTTTCTTGCCAGCTATCAAAACAATACAAGGTTACTTCAAATTGTTTCGTAAAGGTTCATTCTTCTGTTTTGTTTCTGTACAAGTACATTGCAACCATAGTTCAACATCTTTCAAAATAATAGATCAAAATTTCCATTGGAATTATCTTTTTGTGAGGTGTATATCTTCTTTTCTTTCACCAATTTGGCATAGTACTTCTATGTCCAATAAATTTTATGGATGGAATCTTGTCAAAATGCACCATCATTTTATTAATTCTGAAGTATGGATAATGGTCATCGAAACACATGAGCAACTTGTTCCTTTTGAAATCTCTGATTATTTTCATTATTTTTGTATAACAATGATTAAATTGGGTTTAAGTTGATAATGCACACCAGCAGTTTTGATGGCTTGTATGTTGGACCACATTGTCTGCTAATGTCTATGAGAAACAAAGGCCTACTTGCAAATGCTTGTATTGATTTTGCTTCTCTTATGAAAGAAATGATTTGAAGGTCTCGGCTTTGAAAAAGTGGATGTACTCTTGGATGGTTGGAACAATCAAACATGATTTATGCAACCTATTGCTAGGGGTGGCAACGAGTCGAGCTTTTCACGAGTTGCTCGAGCTCGGCTCGTCTCAACTTGATTTCAGTCGAGCTCAAGCTCGAGCTCGAGCCTACTAGAGATCAGCTCGTGAGGCTTGCAAGCTGGCTCGAATATATATATAAAATATTTAATATATATAATATAATATATAACAAAAATATTATAATTCTTAATTTTTTAAATATAAAATAAAAAAAAAATATATATATATATATATATAATTTTTATTTTTATAAAATAGTTTTATAAAATATAAAACAAGCCGAGCCGAGCTCGAGCTTATGAACTCTTGACTCGAGTCGAGCTCGAGCTCAAGGTTCTTGCTCGAGCCTGGTACTATTCGGCTCAGCTCGGCTTGGCTTGAATCCACCCCTACCTATTGCTACCAAGGATGGGCCAAGGGCAACAAGGTAAGTTTGCTTCCTTAGCTGAGCTCGAGCCTGGTACTATTCGGCTCGGCTCGGCTTGAATCCACCCCTACCTATTGCTACCAAGGATGGGCCAAGGGCAACAAGGTAAGTTTGCTTCCTTAGCTGAAGTCGATGTGTCCGATCTTGAGAGAAAGAGAATACACGTCAGAGGCCCTAGGTGTTATCCCAGGGGTAGGGACTTTGACGGTCAAGTTAGTCAAGCACGTAGGAGGGCTTGGACGACGAGCTAAAGAGCAAGAGCGAGCAAGGTGGTTTACCTGGAGAGGGGGATCTCTATTTATACTCGACTTTGCCCTGGGAGTGGTTGGAGGTGGTTGACAGCGGACGGCTAGGATTGCATCCGTTCGATGCCACGTGGTGCCATCCTAAGCCCTGCCTATGTGCCTACATCACAACCAATGCCAGAATGTTTCTGGCAGTGGCAGGGCTCAAATGATTATGATATCGCTTTTTTCCAGGATTAGAGTGTCCACTTTCTTTCCCAGGTGATTTGGAGTTGTTACATAGGCAATACAGTTAGTCTTTTGCAACTTGTATGTGATTAGGTATGAATGGTGGATGCTATTCAGCAGATTCAGACTGGGTCAGCTGGTATAATATACTACTCAGCAATGACAACATTCTGGGGGTATTCCTGCCCACATTCTTTCCTGTGAATATTGTAAAGTTCACTATCAGGTCATCTTTCTATGTTCAAATGGCATGCTGAAGTAGAGGAGGAGCCTTTCCTTAAGGATACTACTGAGATTTGATTTCCATTTGTGAACCCTTAGGCTATGTTTGGTTTGAAGGAAAAAGTAGGGAAAGGAAAGGAAAGGTAGGGAAATCTATACAAGGTTTGTAAAGGTTTCCCTACCTTTCTCTTCCTTTCCCTACTTTTTCCTTCAAACCAAACACAGCCTTAGACAATATTGTTTCTATGGAGATATTCCCTTTAGAAGCTTCTGTATTTCTTATTATTTTTGCAAGTTCAGTTTGATGTTCTGCAGTTCTTTATCAAGGAAATCTATCCATGACCTCATCTAGGGGTGCAAGTCGGATACCTGATTTGAAGATTTTACACTGCATCAAGGCCACGTTTCCAGGCTGGGCCTATTCAAAATTTAACAAAATCCCAATCCAAGCCCACCCAAGTTGCACCCCTAATCTCATCTTGAAAACATAACCAGCTCTTATTCTTGAAAACTCCAATACAAGGTTATTGTCATCTTAATTCTTAAAGCTTAGTGGATTTGGTTCAAGGCTGCTTGCTAAAAAACGGTTCAATCCACTGAAGCTAATACTGTCCCCGAAAATCAGATCTTATTTGTAGCATCTATTGAAGGTACATTCAAATCTAAAGGTCCCAAAGAGTCAGGCTGCAATTTGTAACATACCAAGAAAAACCACAAAGTAAGATTATCTGTGGGAATCCAACCAGAGTGTGGATAGATTTTTAAGATTTAGTCCATGTACCCAATATATATCTGTAAGTTCACTGAAATCCTTAGTAGAATTCTTTGGACTGAGGTCCTTAGAAGAATTCTCTGGACTGAGTCCCTTTGGAGAGTTGTCTGAACTGTAGGCATATCAGACTGACAATTATCCACCGAGTCTCCCTCACAGGCAGAATCATCTATTGGCCGTACCTCAGGCAGCTCCTACAGAAACCATATCATTTTCACCTACCTTGTGAGAGAAATTCTTGCTTCAACCAAGCAGTAAGAGAACACTTGAAAGGGAATACGGAAATACAACCTCGGTCAAGGCCCTGAGACTCAGAGAACTAATACTGGAAATCTGTTTGCAAGTCCCAAACGATGCACTTTGGGATGGACTCCGAACCTCCTGATCAAGAGTGGGCGCCTTTTGAAATGAGAAGGCATCACGGGTTTCTTCAGCATCCCAGAGGGTGAGAGGGATGTTGCATGGGAAACCTGAGCTGATTTTAAGTTTAGCTTTTCTTGGTGACCAGCTATATGAGCAGAAATTGCAGCATCAAATGAATCACAACTAAATGGGATTTGCTGAAAATACTGAGAACTTCCCAAAGCAGGTGGGTCAATGCAGTTGTTATCTGCAGCACGAGTCACGAGATGCTTCTGAGAGTAGGTCTCCAATGCTTGGTTCTCTATTGGGGTTTTCTTTCATAGTAATTCTCATGCAAGTCTTTTGTCGCTGGTGTAGATGAAATACGCCTATGGTTTTCCGTCTTTGTGACATAGTTGGGCGAGAAACGCCTTTAAAATTTGATATGCTTCAACACGTTTAACTGTTTCTACTGGTCTATTGCTCATCTCTTTTAGCCATTTAGATGGTTGATGAAAAAAATAGATGACACCGGTATTTGTGTCTTTTCGCATGCCATTTAACGACTGGTTAATGGCAGGTATTAAGTTAGTATGATTTGGAAGTTTAGATATTGGGTTGGCACGTTTTGAAGTTTGGTGACTAAAGTGAGACTAAGCCCAAAGTACAATGAGAGAAGAAACCTTCTCAGGTTGAGATATTTTATATTTGGGAAAATTCCACTTTAGTATCCTAAATTTTGGGGCTAGTGTCAAGTTAGTACCCGAACTTTCAAACGTGTTACTGTAGTACCTAAACTTTCAAAAAGTGTCCAATTGGTCCCTGTCGTTAATCAAACGTCAGTTATCTGTTGAAAATGTTAAAATTGCCCTTCAAAAGAAGGCATTGTTCATTGTCTTCTACCTTGAGACTGAACCGGTTGAAGTGTTTGAGATTCTGGATTGGATACAACTCATGAGATTAGCCTTGAAAGACCTAATACCTTTCTTGTCATCTAAATCCAACATAACTTATCATCTGAGGAAAAACCTAATACCTTCCTCAAAAGCAACTTTAGCAGGAACATTGATACAACTTAACAGAATTATATGGTTTTCAAAACCAGACTAGACCGGAAAAATTGGGAACCAGTCAGGTGACCGTTTTTGTTTTTCCCCAAAATCGGATTTTTGTCGAAAACAATTGATTTTAGTCAGCAAACCGCTGACCTGGACGGTTAACTGTTTGAACGGTTTTGACCGTTTTATTTATTTATTTTTTATTTTTTTGTCAGAACCGGACCCCTGACCGATTTGTTCTCCAGGTCGGTTTTAAAAACCTTGCAGAATTATACTTCTAATAGGTTTTGTACTCACCTGAGCTTTAGCAAACTCTAACTTGTTGCCCTTGGCCAAGAAATCATCAACAACTTTCTCAATCTCAAATGTAATAAATCCAAAACCACGAGAACGGCTACTAGCATGGTCCCTCATGATTTGATGCTCCTTGATCTCTCCAAACTTTGCAAAGAAATCTTTTTACTCATCTACCCCATTCAAAATGAAAATAAGATTTAGGGAGAATGACAATTCAGCCTAGGATCATAATTCATAGGCTCAAAGTACACTTGGGGTAGGTGCTAGCTCGGAGTTGATGCCAGTTCACAGGTAGGTATGGGTGCATAGAGTGTCGGCTTTTTACCTTTTCAATGTTTATAGATTTGCAGGGGAATTCAGAAATCTGCATTAGGCCTATCTGTACTTTTCCGTAAGATTTATGCTTGGATCAGAAACAAAGACAGTCTACAAGCCTACATAGATTGGCTAATCATTACAGATGCCTAGTGTATTTTTTCACATGCCAGATGTCAAACCTAAACTGAACATTGCAAGTTTGTATTGGATAGATATTATATTTTATATATTTACTAGTGGGGACCCGTGCGATGTACAGGATTTGTTATGGAAAGCTAGACAATAAAACACATAAGAGTATACAATTGTTTTATATTTCTAACTTTTTAAATAATGATTAATTGTTTATATTTTATAATACTTTTAATAACTTTTTACAATACAAAAATAACAATAATTTATTTCAGGTAAGCTTGTTCATCGAATCGATGAAACCAACCAACCCGACCAATTTGACCCAAATTGCTCAGTTTCTAATATTTCCAATTGAAATTAGGATCAGTTTCGTAGTGGCCATTTGTAAATTGACCCATTCACAGACATATATATATATATATATTTATTTATTTAAATAT